CGTCTCCTGCTTCTGGATCGGGTATGAAATTTGGCCCTATCCTTTCTGCTTCATTTGTGTTGACTGTCGCAGGTGTTACGTAACCGTTGTCGGCGAAGTGATGAAGACTTCAGCGTTGTTACTGTCGCGAGGATTTTCTTCGTCCATGGGCACGTCGACGGAGCAGTACGGGAGAGGTCCGGCTTCTTCCGATGCGTTGTCGACGTTCTGTTCATCCCAGTCTGCTTCGTCCGCTGCTGAGGCGAAGGCTCGGTCACCACGAAAGCCACCTGTGAGGTCCCGATTCTCATGCAAGTTGGCGAGGTACGTCTGAAGGGTGAGTCGCTCGTAGAAGATCACATCACGTGCTGCTACTGTTTCTTTTGTGTGGACGTCGAAGATTTTCCACGCGTTGTAATTTTTCTCGATGCCGAGGTGTAGTCCCCACTGTGCCCGTTGCGAAAATCTTCCCGCTCGTGCTTCTGGGGGTCGGTACTGTACCATGCATCCGAAAACTCGTAACATTCTTGTGCTGCCCAGCTTCCCTGTCCACAGCAGATGCGGTGAGGCGTTGTTCGGGAGTGACGACGACGACAACAAGTTGTGCAGCATGACAGCATGGTCCATTGCTGCAGGCCACTGGTGGTTGGGTAGCCGCATGCCACGTAGCAGTTTGCGCATGCTGTTCTGCAGAGTCCTGTTCATTCTTTCTGCTACACCTTGCTGCTGATGTGCGTAGGGAAGGGAGAGGAGTTGCTTGATCCCCCTTTCCGCCAGTACTGCTTGAAGCGCTGAGAGGTGTACTCTCCTCCTCCGTCTGACTGGAAGCTTTTCAGTTGTGTTCCTGATTCCCTCTCTGCTACCGGTAGCCAAGCGGCGAATGCTGCGAGTGCCATGTCGCGGCTGGGTAGGTTGCGATGCCAGACATATCGAGTGGCGGCGTCGATGAAGGTGATCGTGTAATTATAGGTGACTTGTCCTGGTTCTCGATTGTAGAGGATGTCGCTGTAAACTTTCTCGAGTGGTGAGTATGCAGGTGCGCTCGGGTTGTGGTGGGAGGAAAACGGTCGATGGGGTAAGTCGGCTTCGGGGCAGATGAGGCAAGTCCCTCGTGCACGTTGAAGTTCTCTGCCGTCGAGTAGTAGTAGTGAATCCTTGTCTAGAACTCCTGCTCGTATCGTGTTGTTTAACACCGTATTGCTTGGATGTCCTGTGCGTGCGTGCCAGATGTCTTCAAGAGCGCGATGTCCGGGTGAGCGTTGATACGCGTCAGAGTTGGAGTAGAAGCTGGCGACGATGTTTGCGCTTCGGTGGACTTCTCGTTGAGTCGGGTTCAGCTGTTGTGCGGGTGTTGGTGGTTCTTCGTTGACAGAGACTGGTGTCGTTGGTCCTGCTGCTGCCGATGATGTCTCTGCTGCTGACGTTGTTGTCTCTGCTGCTGCCGTTGTTGTCTCTGCTGCTGCCGTTGTTGTCTCTGCTGCTGCCGTTGTTGTCTCTGCTGCTGCCGTTGTTGTCTCTGCTGCTGCCGTTGTTGTCTCTGCTGCTGCCGTTGTTGTCTCTGCTGCTGCCGTTGTTGTCTCTGCTGCTGTCGTTTGTTGAATCGTTGCTAATGCTCGTGTTCGTTCTGCCTCAGGGATGGTGTACGAGTACCAGAAGCCTCCCGGGCTGAAGTCGGGATCGAGATCCGGGGGATGAGTCCAATCGGTGAAGTTGACAATGGCGTCGCTGTCTGCAGTGCCTAGGTTGGGGACAAAATCGAGGACGAAGACGTTATTCTTCAACACTGCTTTTCCGATGTAGAGGCCGCCCTTCCCGTGGTATAACTTAAACTCCTGGGTGGTGCTGTCGGCTTCCAAGTGGATGCCTTTCGCCATCAACTGGCTAACACTCAGTAAGTTGTAGCCTAGTCCCTCAGCGATAAGTACCTTTGACATGTGTAATATGACATTTGTCTCTCGTGACTGAAGCTGTACCACTCCTTGTCGTCGTGTGCGCAGGTTCTGATTGTTGGCGACCGTGATGACTACTTCTCGCTGGAGTCGATGTTCGCGTTGAACAAAGCGCCCGGAGGAGCACATATGTTGTCCGCAGCAACTATCCAAGAACCAAGTGTCTTGGCCAGACGGTTCGCTTTGAGCGATGGCAGCGTACGTCGGATTCGGCTGGAGTGATTCACGGCGAGGCGTCCTGTTGTCGAGCTCTTCTTCTGGTGAGTAGTGGGGTGGTGACTCGGTTGTGCAAGAATCGTTTATCTTCACCATGCAATTGACGATGCTTCTTGTTCCTTGTGCAGGTTGTCCAGTTGAATTCGTTGAAGCTTGGATTGTGGTCGTCGGACTTGCTTGCGTTGAAGCAACTTGGGAGCTTGAAGGCCGGAGTTGTCGCTGTGGTGTCGTCGACTGCTGACGAGACGGGCAATGCGTGCGAGGATGTCCCGAGGTCTTGCAGATGTGGCAAAACGGAGGTACCGTCTTCACTTGTTGATGTCGGTTGTTGTTGCCGTTGTATCGTCGCTGAGTGTGAAACGCAAACTCTGGTGCTAATGCTTTCTTCTTGTGTCTTTCTTCTTGCAGGTCCATGTCTTGCTGCTCAGCATGAATTTCGGCGCAGAGTGCCGCTTCGGAAATCCTCCCGTGTGCTCGTAATATGGCGCGAGTGGAGCGCCAGTGGGGGCCGAGACCGCCGATGACCACCGTGACAAAGGCGTCTTCTGAAATCGACCCGCCGCATCAAAGAAGCTTGTCGCGCAGTTCGCGACAGCGGCTGATATAAGCCATGCCTTTCTCGCCTGGTTTCATTTCAATCGTTGTCAGCTGCGCCATTAACCTGCTTTGATTTACGCTGTCTGGTGCTTGATACAGGTTCTTCAGGTGGTTGTACGCGAGCTCCGCGGAGTTGCCGTAGCCTCGGTAAGTCCTGATGTTCTGCTGCTGGGTCGGGGTGATGTTCCTCAGCAGTATCGTGTACGCCATCATCGATTGATAAGTATATTGTTGCTTCTCATATTGCGTCCCGTTTGTTGGATATGGCAGGGACCCGTCGAAGAAGCCGAGAATCTGTGCTCCTTCCATCATCAGCTCGAATTCGAAAGACCAGGTGAAGAAGTCTTTTCCGTCAAAGGGCTTTGTCGTTTGCAGCTTTAAAACGTGCGCGAATTGCAACTGAACTTGTAATGCGTCCAGTGCTCTCTCTTGTCCCGGTGCATGTTGTGGTTGCGGCATAAAGCTGACGGAGCCACGCTGGGGCTCGTACGGAGCAAAGGTGGGTTGTTGATGTTGATTCCCGCGCGCGTAGGATGAGCCGTCGAGACTCATAGGCGTCACGTTGTTGTTGTTGTTGCTGTTGTTTGATTGCGCAGGTGCTCCTTGCTGGTGCTGCTCGTAGAAGGACATGAAGGAGAAAAATTTCTCCATCATGCTTGGATCGAAGCCCGCGCCTTGGTTTGCGGGTGTTTCCGTAGACCCAGCTGCTGGTCTCGTCGTTGTCCCCTCCTCTGTCAGTAGGCCAGAGGCAGGCGGTGGAGTAGGGGTAGTACCGGGAGAACCGTTGGAGGAGCTCCTCTCCTTCCTTGCAGACATGTCTTCTTGTATTGAGTGTTAAAAGGAAAAACAACTTTAAAACTCTAACTGCTCTCATACCATGTTGGGCTGAAACGCCCTAGGATCTTTGTAGAGTTAAAGTCTGAGTAGATGTTGTAATAGCGGAAGCGTTAAATAAAGCTCTTTGAACCACCTTGCGCTGGTATGTGAGGGCAAAGTAAGTTGATTAAACAAGCAAATACAAAGGTTTATGTAAGAGTACAAGGAATACGAATAGATAAGTTTAAACCGTTTTACTGTTGCGATTCGATACAGTGCGACTCGGGCAACTGCTCAATGTCGAGTCAGTTGTGTGTCCTTGCTGTCGCGCTGTCAAGTCAAAGGTCGCTGACCTTTGACCTTCTCGTAACCTCCAGGCGGTTACCTCAACCTCCGAGGGTTGACTCGCGATGCTTCGATTCGGACTGCTTCGCTAGTGTCCTGAGTTTCGACACGACAGAGGCGCTTAAGACTTATTATTCCCAACACTTTCAACCTGCTTCCCTCTTCCCCCTCTTCCCTATCCCCCCTGTTTGACTTTTTTTTCTTTCTTTCTTGTTCCCCCTCCCCATCCTTCGTATTCTCTCTCTTCATATGCGACCTCCTTCTTTCCCTCATTTACCCCGCTGCTTTTTCTCGTTTCCCCCTCTGCTCTCATAGTTTCCCCACCTGCTTCCCCTCATTCACCCCCTCCTTCCCCTCTTTTCCCCCGCTGCTGCCCCTCATTTCCCCCACTGCTTCCCCTCATTTCCCTCCCTGCTTCTCCTCAATTCCCCTTGCTTCCCCTCATCCCTACTTCCCCTCATTTTTCTCCTTGCTTCTCCTCAGTTCCCCCCTTGCTTCCCCTCATTTCCCTCCCTGCTTCACCTCATTTCCCTCCCCTGTTTGACTTTAGTCTTGTTCCCCATTCCCATCCCTCGTATTCCCTCCCTCTCCCTGGGTAGTGCAGTGACACCACTAAAGATTTTCTGGCCGAAGCCCATCATCCCATGCCACGCTTGTGGAGAAACCAGTTCCCCTCATGTTTTCTTCAAGGCCTTGAGAAGGGTACAATCTAAAGTATCAGGATCATGCCTCTTATCTACCCTTCTGACACTCTTAGTGTCCATGCATCTTGGAAGAATATTTTGCACTGCAGAAACAATAGTACATATTATGCTTTTGAGATGGATTTTCCCAATAGTAATACAGTATCATGCTTGCACACAACAAAAAAGAAACAGGTGGTGCTACGGTGTAAAGCATCGACTAGCTCTAGCTGCGCCTCAGCTTGCTCTTCTTCTTGACCACTGGAAATTTGGGGAGTGGAGTAGGCAGAAAGAACTATGTGACAAAACATGGGGGAGGTGGTGTGAGGTGCCAAGCGAACAACTGCAGGGGAACACAAGCAAGCGCACATGATGAAAGCATGGGGAGACACTGATGGGTGCACATGCATGGGAACTAGAGGGCGAAAGGTGAGGGGGAAGGGGAGGGCATGACATGAAAGGGAAGGGTTGAGAAGGGAAGGGCAGGGCAGGGAGGGAAAGGCCGGGATATGGAGGGCAGGTGGGAACAGGGGAGAGGGTGAGGGGAAGGAGGGCTGAGGGTGGTGGGAAGGAGAGTGCGAGTGCGAGAGGACGGAGAGAGAGAGGGAGTGCGAGATGACTGAGAGAGTGAATGTGGGAGGAAGGAGAATGAGAGTGATGGGAGGCAGCAGGGGAGGGGATGGGGGGAAGCAGGGAAGGGGATGGGGGGAAGCAGGGAACGGGATGGGGGAAAGCAGGGCAGGGGATGGGTGGAAGCAGGGAAGTGGAAGGGGGGAATCAAGGTAGGGGATGACGGGAAGCAGAGAAGGGGATGGGAGGAAGCAGGGAAGGGGATGGGGGGAAAGCAGGGAAGGGGATGGGGGGAATCAAGGAAGGAGATGGGGGGAAGCAGGGAAGGGGATGAGGGGAAGCAGGGTGGGGGATGGGGGGAAGTAGGGCAAGGGATTGGGGAAAGCAGGGAAGGGGATGGGGGGAAGCAGGGAAGGGGATGGGGGAAATCAGAGCAGGGGATGGGCAGAAGCAAGGCAGGGGATGAGGGGAAGAGGGAAGGGGGTGGAGGGAAGCAGGGAAGGGGATGAGGGGAAGAGGGAAGGGGATGGGGGGAAGCAGGGCAGGGGAGGGGGGAAAGCAGGAGGAGGGATGGGAAGAAGCAGGGAAGGGGATGGGGGGGAAGCAGGGCAGGGGATACGAGGTAAGAGGGGATAGGATGGGGGGAACCACGGCAGGGGATACGGGGAAACAGGGAAGAGGATGGGGAAACGGGGGCAGATGCCGGGGAGAGAGCTGGGGGGAGGATGGTGGGGAGTAGAGAGGGGATCTGTTCCTCCCCATCTGTTCCTCCCCATCTGTTCCTCCCCATCTGTTCCTCCCCATCTGTTCCTCCCCATCTGTTCCTCCCCGTCTGTTCCTCCCCATCTGTTCCTCCCCATCTGTTCCTCCCCATCTGTTCCTCCCCATCTGTTCCTCCCCATCTGTTCCTCCCCGTCTGTTCCTCCCCATCTGTTCCTCCCCATCTGTTCCTCCCCATCTGTTCCTCCCCATCTGTTCTTTCCCATCTGTTCCTCCCCATCTGTTCCTCCCCATTTGTTCCTCCCCATTTGTTCCTCCCCCTCTGTTCCACCCCTTCGGAAGGAATGAGGAAGGTATGACGGGCTGGAGATGGTGAGATGGGGAGAGGGGAAGAGCGGATGGAAACGCGGATGACGAGGGGAAGCGCAAGTGACTGGGAGGGAAGCCCGACGACGGGACGCGCGGGCGACGAGGGGAGGCAAGGGCGGCGAGGGCCGGCACGGGTGATGAGGGGAAGCGCGAGCGACGAGAGGGAATGTGGGTGACTAAGAGAGGTGAGGGCGGCAAGGATCGGTGCGGGTTGACGAGGGTGATGAGGTAAGCGCGGGTGACGATCTGAAGCGCGGTATGTTTACGAACAGCGATTACGACGAGGGGATGTGTGGTTAACGTGGGAACCCGCGGGCGACTAGGGGAACATATGTGACCAGAGGGTCGGTGAGGGTGATGAGGGAAAGCGCGGGTGATGAGGAAAGTGGTCTGACGTGGGAAAGAGCGGCCGACGAGGAGGAACATGTGCGACTAACGACTGAGTGCGTCACGCGAACCAGTACGGCATTCGCGTGAGCGACCCGTGCCTAAAACAGTACGATCGTGACACGAAGCTTAACCGCAGCAAGTGTGACAAGAGCCTGCGTGTGCGACGCGAGCTTGAATGCAAGACGCGAGTAACGCGAATCTCGTTTACTACCGTAAGTGCCGTGGGTGAACGGGTTGTAACATGAGACCGGTGATGTTAGAGAGAGATCGGAGCGTGCACTGACTAAGATGGTTGAGGTGGACTTATATTTCTTTCCGCACAAAAAAAAAGCCTATCAACGACTCGCTTTTGCCAACTAGCGCTAGTTTTTGCCTTGGAGCCTCCTAGTCTAAGAGTACTACTTGGTGCGCAAGTTATGTGAGTGGTGAACAGTGCATATGGTTGGCGATCATCGTGTCAGTTCTGGTTTTGGGCAATCGGGTTCCGTTGTCGCAGGACGATTGCCTGGGATCGCGAGAGCTTTTTCAAAACAAGTAGGGTAACCCTGTTTTTGGCGACTTCAAGTTCAAGAGTCTTGAACTTGAAAATTACCATGCTGTACTCGGGCCTTAACCATAGTACAATCGTGCCATACCATAATACCCCCACAATGTGGTTAGTTTCTGGAGTCCACAGAAACCCGCACATACAAGTGTTAGAGGGGTGTTTACTGTTCATTCCGAACAGTACATTCCTAGTCACCATTATCCTTATCTTCTCAGATTCTCTAGTGCCACGTGGCACTCTACTTTTCTTGCACTCCAATTCTTGGTCCCACATTCCACTTTCCAACCTTGTTTCTTGCATGCTATATAAACCTTGCTTGTACTTGCCATTATCAATCAATTCTCATTCAACTCTTCTTCAATTACTCAGTAACTTCTTCGCCTATTTCGCCAATAGTTCTTTCGCCAAAGTCTTCCGCCGCGTTTCATCCTCGACTTAGTCGACCCCGCTAATTCTTTAGCGGACTTAGGCCGTCGGGCCTAACACTTGGTATCAGAGCCTTCGCGGGGAGCGACTTCCAACGAGCGACCGTCGACGACGAGACTACGACGTCATCGTCCCGCGGTGCCGACTTGCAGACTTGGAGTCGTTGAGCGAACATGGACGAAACCATGCACGCAGTCCCCCACGACATGGGCAACACGCTTGCCGAACTCATGCGCCAACTTCAAGAGTTGACGCTGGAAAATCGACAGGTACGAGCTGAAATGCAACAGCTTCGTGAATTGGCTTCTAACCCCCATGGTCATGCCACACCAACTCTTGCGCCCAACACGTCGACTGGCGCGGAAGCGCTGCCGGAACGTCGAAGCGCACTCAAGCCGCAGAAACCCGAGTCGTTCGACCCAAGTCAACGCGACGCGAACGTGCGGACGTGGCTCTTCATGCTGAACAACTACTTCGCCGCGAGCGGGGTGCAAGAGGCGGACGCGCAGCAGCGGATCGAGTACGCTGTTACACTGCTGAGGGGCCTGGCCTTGGAGTGGTGGCGCCAACTCACTCAAACTGCTGTAAGAAGGGCTCAGACGGACGGGCATCAACAGGGCGTGGGGCATGCAGCTGCAACTTCGAGCTTAGGGAGTTTAGCTTTGGGTGTTACCACGGTTCCGACCACATGGGAAGGATTTGAAGCGGCGCTGAAAAGTAGGTTCGATTTGGTGAACGCCTCCGAAGCTGCTAGGGAGCGTCTGCGTCATTTCCGACAGATAGGCAACGTCCAAGAGTACACACGACGGTTCTTGAGCATCTGCAGCGAGATAGACGATATCACGGAAGCAGAGATGCGCGATCGCTACCTCGAAAGGTTGAAGCCGGACATAGCGGAAGTCATTGCGATTCACGGGTTGTCCACCTTCGAGTCGGTAGTTGCAGCAGCAGAACGCGTCGACGCAGTACGAAGCCGACGGGGTCGTGACGATCGCGATAGGGGATACAACAGACCGATCAACGACGCTCGATCGAGGGACGGACCCTCGCCCATGGAGATTGGTGCAGTTTGTCAGAACATATATATAGCTTATACTATTGTGTAGGCTGTAGTGGGGTATCCCATAGGGGGTACAACCAGTTAGGGTTTCCTATTTGTACTCACTTCATTCATAGTTCATTCATTCTCGTTCTATTCTCAACATGGTATCGAGCAGGTTCCCCCGTGGGAACTGTGCTTAGGGCCCACCACCTTTAAACTTTTTTTTCTGCCCGGAGCGCGCTCCGGGCCCTCGCTTTCACCTTTTTTTTCGGCCTGCCCTGAGGCCCCTAGCCGCCCAAGCGCCGCCCGTCCCGGCCCCTAGCCGCCCACGCACCGCCCGTTCAGGCCCTTAGCCGCCCGCGCGCGCCCGTTCAGGCCCCTAGCCGCCCACGCGCCGCCCGTCCCGGCCCTTAGCCGCCCGCGCGCCGCCTGTCCCGGCCCCTAGCCGCCCGCTGGCCGCCCGTCCCGGCCCCTCGACGCCCGCGCGCCGCCGTCCCGGCCCCTAGCCGCCCGCTGGCCGCCCGTCCCGGCCTCTCGACGCCCGCGCGCCGCCCGTCCCGGCCCCTGATCGCCCGCGCGCCGCCGTCCCGGCCCCTAGCCGCCCGCTGGCCGCCCGTCCCGGCCCCTAGCCGCCCGCTGGCCGCCCGTCCCGGCCCCTCGACGCCAGCGCGCCGCCGTCCCGACCCCTAGCCGCCCGCTGGCCGCCCGTCCCGGCCCCTCGACGCCCGCGCGTCGCCGCCCCGGCCCCTAGCCGTCCGCTGGCCGCCCGTCCCGGCCTCTCGACGCCCGCGCGCCGCCCGTCCCGGCCCCTGATCGCCCGCGCGCCGCCCGTCCCAGCCCCGGGCCGCCCTGTGTCGCTGACAGCCCGAGCCGCCCGAGCCGCCCGCGCCGCCCGAGCCGCCCGAGCCGCCCGAGCCGCCCTCGCCGCCCTCGCCGCCCAAGCCGCCCGAGCCGCCTGCACCGCCTGAGGAGCCGAGCCGCTGGTCCTGCGGAGCTGCTGTTGCTGCTGAGCCGGTTGAGCTGCTGTGTTGCTGTACTGCTGTGCTACTGCGCTGCCCGACCCGTCCTGTCTGGTGAGACCTTCTACTGCTGTCATGGCTACCCCTAGTGTCCTAGCTTTTGACGCTGAGGGTCGCGCCATTGACTTTGAGGTCTGGGTCGACGACCTGCAGCTGTTCTTACAGTGCGACAGAGCAGACGGCCTTTCTCTCTTTGACCTCACTTCTGGTGCCTCTCCTGCCCCTGCTGATGATGCTGATCCCACTGTGCGCTCTCACTGGGCCACCCGCGATGCTGCTGCACGTCTTGCTGTGCGTCGCCACCTCCCTACATCTGAGCGCGCGCACTTTAGTCAGTACAAGAGTGCTCAGACCTTGTACGACGCTGTAGTCGCGCGCTACTCCTCCCCTGCCACTGCTGCACTGAGCCGTCTCATGCTTCCCTACCTCTTTCCTGACCTCTCTGCCTTTCCCACTGTCGCTGACCTCATTACGCACCTCCGCACTAGTGACACTCGCTACCGCGCCGCCCTTCCTGCTGAGTTCTGCGCCAAGAACCCCCCCCCCATGTACATCACTCTCTACTACGTAGTCGCGCGCCTCCCTGACTCTCTTCGCGTAGTCAGGGACCACTTTCTCGCGGTCTGTCCCACCACCCTCACCGTCGACATCCTCGAGAAGGCCCTACTCGCGGCGGAGAAGAGCATCGTCGCTGTAGGAGCTTCTCGTGGTGACCCTCGCACCCCCATCTTTGAGGGGTGCTCTCCTTCCCCCCTCCTGCCCTCTGTTGCCTCTGCTGCTGCTGCCGACCTGCTTGGTCTCGAGTCGGTTGGCGCGGCGTCTGCCTCTAGTGGGAGACGCCGCTCTTGCAAGGGCAAGGGGGGCAAGGGCGCGGGTGGAGCTGGAGGGGGCGGTGGAGGTGGCGGTGGAGGCGGCGGAGGGAGTGGGGGTGGCGGCGGGAGTGGTGGAGGGGGTGGTGGTGGTAGTGGTGGCAGCGGCGGAGGAGGCGGCGGTGGTGGCGGCAGCGGTGGTGGTGGCGGCAGTGGTGGCGGTGACGGTGGGGGAGGCGGCGGCGGAGGAGGCGGTGGTGGCGGAGGAGGTGGAGCTGGTCGGGGCGGTACCCAGCAGCGGAGCGGCGGTGGTGGTGGTCAGCGCTCGCAGCAGCAGCAGCAGCAGCGTTCGCGCGACATCCCTCCGCCCCAGCAGCTCCGTGAGTGGTACACTCGACGTCAGAGGGGTGGGGGTACAGGTCCTTGTACCTACGTCCTTCGCTCTGGCGACCGCGCGGGTGAGCAGTGTGGGGGTGCCCACCCCACCCAGCGCTGCTTTGGCCGCCTGACGGACGCTTGGCGTCAGCAGTTCCCCGGGGCTAGTGAGATCCCTCGCTGGGATGAGCTTCTTAGGGCTGGTGTAGCGATCTTTGATCTTGATTTTGATGCTATCCTTGCTGCTATGTATGCTGTGAGTATTGGTGAGGAGGGTGACTGTTACCGGTGTTTCCCGCCCGACCCGGGCATTGGTACTGCTGCGCTAGGTGCTTGTGAGGCTGCTGCTCTAGGTGCCAGTGCGTCTGCGCTCTCAGGTGCTGGTGAGACTGCGCTCTCAGGTACTGCGTCGCCTTCGTCCTCCCTCACTTTCACACTTGACTCCGGGGCTTCTCGCTCCTTCTTTCGAGACCGCACCACCCTCACGCCGCTTGGCCGGCCGGTTGCGGTCTCCCTGGCTGACCCCTCTGGGGGTCCTGTCCTCTCTCACTTCTCCACTGTCCTCCCGTGTCCGGCTGCCCCCTCGGGCACCCTGTCTGGTCTGTACCTTCCCTCGTTCTCGACGAACTTGGTGAGTGGTGCGGACCTACAGGATGCGGGGGTTCACCAGTTCACTCCTGCGAGTCAGCGGGTGACCCACTGCACGGACGCACGCACAGGCCGGCACCTGGCCACGTTCTCGCGTCGGCCGGGGTCGAGCCTCTACACCCTGACCACTACGTCTCCTCCTGTCCCTGCGTCTGGTCAGGTAGCTGCGTCAGGTCATGTGTTTGCTGCTGCGTCCCGGTCAGGTCCTGAGTCTGCCCCCTGTTCGTGTCGCCTCCTGTCTCACGAGACTCTCCTGTGGCACCACCGTCTGGGCCACCCCTCCTTGCCCCGTCTTCGGAGCATGGCTTCCCGTGTCCTTGTCTCTGGTCTTCCCCAGTCTCTCCCTCCCCTTCCTTCCGGGCCAGGACCTTCCTGTGTCCCCTGTGTCGAGGGGCGCCTCCGGGCTGCTCCTCACTCCTCCCAGTTCCCCCCGACAGAGGCTCCTCTGCAGACGCTTCACATGGACGTGTGGGGCCCAGCCCCCGTCCGTGGGCAGGGTCACGAGCGCTACTTCCTGTTGGTTGTTGACGACTACTCGCGTTACACCACAGTCCTCCCCTTGCGCAGCAAGGGTGCTGTCACTGAGGTGTTGATCGACTGGATCCGCGAGGCTCGTCTCCAGCTCAGGAGGAGCTTCGGCTCGGACTTTCCTGTTCTGCGTCTGCACTCGGACAAAGGCGGGGAGTTCTCCTCTCGCCTTCTGCGAGACTACTGTCGTGCACGGGGGATCCGCCAGACCTTCACGCTTCCGGACTCTCCACAGCAAAATGGGATTGCTGAGCGCCGCATTGGCATGGTCATGGATGTCGCTCGTACGTCCATGATGCATGCGGCTGCCCCCCATTTTCTGTGGCCGTTTGCGGTGAGGTACGCGGCGCATCAGCTCAACCTTCACCCCAGGGTCTCTCGGCCCGCGATGTCCCCAGTGTTACTGTGGACGGGGAAGGTCGGCGATGCGTCTGCGTTCCGTGTCTGGGGATCTCGGGCGTTTGTCCGCGACTTGTCTGCGGACAAGCTGTCCCCTCGTGCTGCTCCCTGTGTCTTCCTTGGCTTCCCCCCTGACGCTCCAGGGTGGCAGTTCTACCACCCCTCCTCTCGTCGTGATCTGTCCTCCCAGGACGTCACGTTCGACGAGTCAGTCCCCTTCTACCGCCTCTTCCCCTACCGCACTCCTTCCCTTCCCCCACCACCGGACTTCCTTGTGCCGGTCCCCCCCCCGGTAGACCCCCCCCCCCCCTCAGGTTCCTGCCCCCTCAGGTGTGTCCCAGGTAGACGCACTTGACCCGGTCGAGGTTACTGGTGACTCTGGTGCTGCTGCGGGTGCTGAGCCTGGGGGTGCTGACTCTGGGGGTGCTGTGCGCGGGGGTGCCGAGCCTGGGGGTGCTACTGCGGAGGGTGCTGGGCCTGGGGGTGCTGACTCTGGGGGTGCTGTGCGCGGGGGTGCCGAGCCTGGGGGTGCTACTGCGGAGGGTGCTGAGCCTGGGAGTGCTGAGCCGGGGGGTGCTGTGCCTGGAGCTGCTGAGCTAGGGGGTGCTGCGTCTGGAGCTACTGGGCCTGGGGGTGCTGCGTCTGGGGCTGCTGAGCCTGGGGTTTCTCCTGGTGCTGCGTCTCGGCGGGAGCCCCTCTCTCCACAGGAGCTGCGCGAGTGGTTTGCTCGCCGCTGGAGGCGTGCTGCTGGAGCTGGAGCTTCTTCGACCGTCGAGGGTGCTGGTGCCGCCGATCCCGGGGCTGCTGGGCCTGCGGGTCCTACTGGAGCTAGGGCTGCTGAGGGAGTTGGTGCTGAGACTACTGCTGTCTGTCCTCGCAGTGGTTCTCCTGCTGGTGCTACTGGAGGTCCAGCCGCTGGAGGTGTTGGTGGCGCTGGTGCTGCCGCTGAGGGTGCTGGTGCTGTCCCTGCTGAGTCTGGAGCTGCCGCGCGGCCTCGGTTGTACTTCGTTCCGCTCCTGCAGCAGGTTCTTGGTCTTTCTCCTCCGGTAGAGTGTCCATAGCATGTCCAGCCGCAGTCACTGTTGGAGCCTTCCTCCCCTCTACCTGCTCCCTCTCCTTACACTGGTCCTACTGGAGGTCTTGCTGAGCGTCGTGAGCCTGCGTCTCGTCCCGCGTCGCCTGTTCGTGCTGCTCGCGCTAGTGGTCGCGGTTCGCGTCAGCGTCCTCCTCCTGTCCCTGGCACGCACCGGATGTCTCTGCGTCCGTCCACTGCTCCTCTGCGTGCCCCTTTGCCTTCTCCTCCTGAGTCCTCTCTTCCTGCGCTTGCTGACCCTGAGTCGGACTCCCTTCGTGCTGCCAGTCCTACTGTCACGCGTCTGCTTGCCACTGTCGTCACTGACCCCTCGTTTGAGTCCACTGCTGCGTCTGCTCTTGTCGCTGAGCTCGTCGACTTTGCTGCTCGCTGTCGTCTAGACTACGCTGCTAGTCTTGTTGCTGAGTCTGCGTCTGTTTGTCCTCCGTCCGTCGGGGGTGATTGTGCTCTTGGCACGGACGTCCTAGAGGACAGGCAGGAGGAGTTCCAGTGTCTGGCTGCTGCTTCACCTCATCTCGCGTCTGTACTGCTTGCTCCTGAGGGAGACCCGGATGCACTAGACATCCCGACTCCGCGCTCTTACGCGGAGGCCGTAGAGGGTCCCTACTCCTCTCAGTGGCAGGCAGCTATGGATGCAGAGATGGCTTCCTGGAAGTCCACACGCACCTACGTTGACGCGGTTCCCCCTCCTGGGGCGAACATCGTCAGTGGCATGTGGATCTTCAGGGTGAAGCGGCCGCCGGGCTCTCCACCTGTCTTCAAGGCGCGTTACGTCGCTCGTGGCTTCAGTCAGCGGCAGGGAGTTGACTACTTTCAGACCTTCTCTCCCACCCCGAAGATGACCACTCTTCGGGTACTGCTGCACATAGCCGCTCAGCGCGACTACGAGCTTCACTCTCTCGACTTCAGCACTGCGTTCTTGCAGGGTAGCCTGCACGAGGAGATCTGGCTGCGCCGTCCACCTGGCTTCACTGGGACTTTCCCTCCTGGCACCCAGTGGAGCCTCCGACGGCCAGTCTACGGTCTCCGCCAGGCACCGCGTGAGTGGCACGACACACTGAGGACTACGCTTGCGGCTCTTGGGTTTGCTCCTTCTACTGCTGACCCGTCGCTGTTTCTGCGCACCGACACTTCACTACCGCCGTTCTACATCCTCGTGTACGTCGACGACTTGGTCTTTGCCACAGCGGACACTGCTGGACTCGCCTACGTGAAGTCCGAGCTGCTGAAGAGACACACGTGCACAGACCTGGGTGAACTGCGCAGCTACCTTGGCTTGCAGATCACTCGGGACAGAGCACGCCGCACCATTACCTTGACTCAGTCACACATGGTGCAGCAGGTCCTTCAGCGCTTCGGCTTCACTTACTCCTCGCCTCAGGCCACTCCTCTGTCTACCCGCCACTCACTCTCAGCTCTGCCTTCGGATGAGTCCGTAGAGTCGAGTGGCCCGTACCCAGAGCTTGTTGGCTGCCTCATGTACCTGATGACCTGCACACGACCTGACCTTGCATACCCTCTTAGCATTCTTGCACGCTATGTTGCTCCTGGGAGACACCGACCAGAGCACATGGCTGCAGCGAAGAGGGTATTGTGCTACCTGTGCAGTACGTCGGGCATGGGGCTAGTGCTTGGAGGGCGGAGTCCAGTGGTCCTTACAGGTCACGCGGACGCTTCTTGGGCTGACGACCAGGCTACGCAGCGGTTGTCACAGGGTTACACCTTCAGCCTTGGTTCCGGCTCTGTCTCGTGGCGGGCTACTGGTTCGTCTTCGGTTCTCAGCTCCAGCTGTGAGGCTGAGATCTACGCAGGGGCCATGGCTGCACAGGAGCTTCGCTGGCTCACCTACCTGCTGACTGACCTTGGAGAGCCGCCTCGTTCTCCTCCAGTGCTGTACGTAGACAACAAGGCCATGCTGGCCTTGTGTCGAGAGCAGCGTCTGGAGCACAGAACGAAGCACATTGCTCTTCGCTACTTCCTTGCTCGTGAGCTACAGCAGCGTGGACAGTTGCGGCTTGCGTACGTGGCCTCTGAGGCCAACACTGCTGATGTGTTCACCAAGGCACTCGCGCCTTGTGACCATCAGCGCTTCTGCACCCAGCTGGGTCTTGTGCCTGTCTTGCCTCACTTGCTCTCCTCTTGACTTTACTTGTACTGTGACATATATATACCTGCTCTTGCTTGTCTAGCTTTATATATATGTCTATACTCTTGCATGTGAACTGGCCTTTGGCCTTGCTCTTGTGCTCGGACTGTGTGGTGACTTTGTGATCCACCCTGAGCTTTGCTTTGCTTTGCTTGACTGGTCTTGTGACCCCTTGTTCTCCCCCACTTTGCCTATGGGGGTGTGTCAAAAACATATATATAGCTTATACTATTGTGTAGGCTGTAGTGGGGTATCCCATAGGGGGTACAACCAGTTAGGGTTCCCTATTTGTACTCACTTCATTCATAGTTCATTCATTCTCGTTCTATTCTCAACACAGTTAACAGTGACGGCTCACAGAAAATGAGATTTAGGGGGAACTGTCACTACTGCAAAAAGCCGGGACACATGAAGCGAGACTGCCCACAGCTTAAGGAGCGGCAGCAGGGAAACGGAAACCGCCAGTAGATAGCGGGTCGCTAGCTGGTGTGGTGGTTCCCGTACCCGCCACGTCTACCAACGTAGAGGAGACGGCTTTGCAGCAGTCATCTACGGAGAACGAGGTAGACACTGTTGATCGTCCAGTCGTGCTTCTAGGGAAGCTTCGCGGAGTTCCTGTTAAGATTCTCGTAGATAGCGGAGCTAGCCACTCGTTCGTCTCTTCATCGTTAGTTTCTCGTCTCCATCTCGAAGCAGATTCAGCAGTCAACTTCAAGGACGCTCGCATGGTAGATGGGACGCCACTTCACATAGGACCGATCATCCGCAAGTTGCGCGTAGTGCTAGGACCGATCACAGTCAGGCGTGATTTCGACTCTGCGACGCTGGACGGATACGATTTTATCTTCGGGAGAGATTGGCTACGGACGGTTAGTACTCAGTTCGATTGGGCTCAGGGAAGCTGCAGCGTCAAGGTAGACGGGGAGTTCCGGGAGCTGCCACAGTGGAGCGATGGGGCCACATCATCCACAGCTATCATTAATGCTGTTCGTGTGCGACAGTTAGTGAAGCGTGCGGCACGGATCTTCGCGGTTTTTCTTGAGGAGGTGGAAGCTAAGGAGGGGAAAGGAGGGAGTGCAGCAGTTAGTCAGAAGGCGACTCTTCCTGCTGAGGTGAGTGCACTGTTAGCAGAGTTCGCAGACGTCTTCCCCGACGAGTTGCCCCCAGGGTTGCCTCCCAGCCGAGCAGTAGACCATCGAATATAATTGGAGCCGGGGAGCAGGCCAGTAGCGAAGCCGCAGTGGAGGTTGAGTCCAGCGGAGACAGAAGAGATGACGCAGCAAGTTAGGCACTTTCTCGCACAGGGTTTCATACAGCCATCTAGATCGCCTTGGGCCGCACCGATACTTTTCGCACCCAAGAAAGACGGAGGGTTACGGATGTACATAGATTACCGCGCACTGAACGCCGCCACCGTCAAGAATAGATTCCCGGTGCCGAGAGTAGAGGATCTTCTCGATGCAGTGCAGGGCGCTAGAGTCTTCTCAAAGATCGACCTTCGTTCGGGTTACCACCAGATTCGAGTAGTTCCAGAGGACCAGCACAAGACGGCGTTTCGTACGAAGCAGGGGTTGTACGAGTTTAGGGTTCTACCGTTCGGATTGACCAACGCCCCAGCGACGTTTCAGACGCTCATGAACACAGTCCTCTCCGAGTTCCTAGGGTCGTTCGTTGTCGTTTACCTAGACGACATCCTAGTGTTCTCTAAGACGAAAGATGAGCACGTGCAGCACTTGCAGAAGGTCTTCGAGGTCTTACGGAGGGAGCAGTTATACGCTAAGCAGTCGAAGTGCGAGTTCTTCCTTCCAGAGGTCGAGTTCCTAGGACACGTCGTATCCGCTAGTGGCATTAGGACTGACCCGAAGAAGATCGCAGCAGTACAGGATTGGGTAGCACCGACCTCAGTCAAGGAGTTGCAGAGCTTCCTCGGTTTCGCGAACTACTACCGTCGTTTCGTTCAGGGTTACGCATCGATCGCTAGTCCACTCACCGACCTACTTCGGAAGGGCGTAGAGTACGTTTGGGGTCCAGCGCAGCAGCAGGCGTTCGAGCAGATGAAGCAGTCGCTCACGTCCTCACCGACACTGTCGTACCCTGATCCCACTCGCCCATACGTTGTAGTGACCGACGCTTCCGATCAGGCCATAGGAGCAGTGCTTCTTCAGGACCAGGGACGCGGGTTGCAGCCGATCGCGTACGAGTCGCGTAAGCTTAGGGGAGCGGAGTTGAACTATCCCATACACGACAAGGAGGCGCTCGCGATCATCCATGCGTATAAGGTGTGGAGGTGCTACCTGGAGGGGGCAGATAGTGTTATACGCACGGACCACTGTTCGCTTCGTTTCCTCAAGTCGCAGCCGCAGCTGAGTCGTCGCCAGGCTAGGTGGATGGAGTTCATGGAAGGGAGCTTTCACTACAGGATAGAGTACAAGCCAGGCATGCGCAACCTAGCAGATCCGCTCACTCGCCCTAGTTGTCAGCTCGCCAGTCTCACAGTCACTGCTGGCCACCCACTTCTCACAGCACTCTTCGAGCACGGTTACACAGTAGATCCCGACTTCACACCGCAGCCGCCCGCAGGAGCAGAGGTGCAGGGTAGTGTCTACATACGGAAGGGTACCACACGGATTTGGGTTCCAGCCTACCGCCCTCTTCGACAGCTCCTTCTCTCAGAGGCGCACGACGTAGTTAGTGCAGGGCACTTTGGAGCAGATAAGATGGCTAAGACGCTTAGTCGCACGTACTACTGGCCCGGGCTTGCAGCAGACGTAGAGGATTACATTCGCTCGTGCGACACGTGTCAGCGTACGAAGTCCTCTCGCCAGCGCAAAGCAGGACTCTTGCAGCCGATTCCACCGCCCGACCGCCCTTGGCAGGTAGTTACCATGGACTTCATCATGGCTTTACCGCGCACAGTTAGGGGTCACGACGCCATCTTCGTAGTAGTGGATAAGTTTTCTCGAGCAGCGCATTTCATCCCCACGCACGGCAAGGTCACAGCAGAGGAAGCCGCGACGCTGTTCGTAGATAACGTAGTCCGACTGCACGGGGTTCCAGATTCCATCATCTCAGACCGCGACCCTCGTTTCACTTCGAAGTTCTGGAAGCAACTTTTCGCACTGTTTGGGACTCGCTTAGCCATGTCGTCTGCGTACCACCCAGAGACAGACGGACAGACCGAGCGTGTGAACCAGACCTTGGAGCAGATCCTTCGCAGCATCACGATGCACGACGCAGCCGCATGGGACAAGAAGCTGAGAATGGCAGAGTTCGCCTACAACAACACGCACCACTCCGCCACAGGCATGTCACCGTTCTTTGCACTTTACGGTCAGCACCCCAATGTCCCCACTCGTGTCGATCTCACACCCACAGTCCCTCGTGCGGACAACTTCCACCAGCATCTCACCTTCATTCATGATCACGTGAGGAAGCACCTTGAGCTCGCAAATGCACGCATGGCACGCACCACCAACCGCAGTCGTCGTGAGGTGTCGTTCGCAGTCGGCGACCGTGTTCTCTTGGATAGCTGCAACCTCCGACTGCCACAGGACAGCAAGCTTCGTCCACGTTTCATTGGTCCATTCGTCATTGAGCGCGCACTAGGTCCAGTCGCATACCGCCTTCGCCTTCCCGCACATTTCCGCATGCACCCGTCATTCCACGTGTCTCTCCTTCGCCCATACACCGATCCCAATGCCACCTTCTCGAGCCGTGATCGCACTCCACTGCCGGTAGCTGTTGACACCGACGAGCCCGACTACCAGATCCAGCGCATCCTCAGGCACCGTCGCCGTCTCCAGGGGGGTGTCACTTTCATCGACTTCTTGGTTCGTTGGCGTGGTTACGACGCAGCAGACGACAGCTGGGTTCCTTCGTCCTCGCTGTCTCCTGACAACGCTTGCCTCCAAGCGTACCTTCAGTCTGCAGGCGCCGCGGACGTCGCCTCCTTGGGCGGGGGGTAGTGTTAGAGGGGTGTTTACTGTTCATTCCGAACAGTACATTCCTAGTCACCATTATCCTTATCTTCTCAGATTCTCTAGTGCCACGTGGCACTCTACTTTTCTTGCACTCCAATTCTTGGTCCCACATTCCACTTTCCAACCTTGTTTCTTGCATGCTATATAAACCTTGCTTGTACTTGCCATTATCAATCAATTCTCATTCAAATCTTCTTCAATTACTCAGTAACTTCTTCGCCTATTTCGCCAATAGTTCTTTCGCCAAAGTCTTCCGCCGCGTTTCATCCTCGACTTAGTCGACCCCGCTAATTCTTTAGCGGAATTAGGCCGTCGGGCCTAACACAAGAAACGTAGGCTGCGTGTATTTATGGGCTAGCGTGATTCAGATCTTGCAAGTTTTTCATGATTCTCTTTGGAGGAAGAAATTTATAAGGATGATTGAGAAACTAGGAGTGTTTTGGGTAGTGTTGCGTCTTGTACTTATAAGCGCGCTTGTACTAAAACCCAAAAGTACTATAACCCACTATGCGGCTGCTAGTATCGCATGCGCATGGAGCCAAATCTACTGTACCTTGCCTGCATTGCACACCATCGTGCCAACCACGCAACGCTTCTCCATCCGATCATAGCATTGATGTGATGTGGTCGCAACGATGAACGGGGAAATGGTGGTGTTTCGATTATGCGACCATGCCGCACTCTGTGAGTACCGCGAATGGAGCTTCGGGACAGGAAGCTCATTGGGTCGGGTCGGGCAGGGACTCGGGTCTTTACTGCGACGACGAGCTCCTCATTCTGTTACGACTATATTTCAGTTGTGGACACTCGGTCGGTACACGGAGCTACCAAGAAGCTCAATCCGCACTCGTGATACGAGATGGTGATGTGCATCCACCCATGGATAGAGTGAGGCCGGGTATGCACGAGTTGCCATGTTCCTTGCGCTGCACGCCACCCAGCATAGTAGCAGCAGGCCTCGCTCTACTCAATGCTACTGTATAATATTCACATTCATTGCGGAAAACGTTACGAACTCATTTACAAAGTAAATAATCACAAAGCATCATGGCGACAACGTCAGGTGTTACCCGTGGCGAAGACACCGTGATCAACTCGCAAACCGTCTCGCCCTTCCGCGAAGCCTCGTCAGTCACCGTGGCGCTGCTGCCGCCGCACCCGCCGAAATTACCGCACGCGGAGGCTTTAGACGAAGAGGAGCGGCGCCGCCCCGGCGCTGAAAGCAAGGAGCGCGCCGCGGAGTGTTCAGTGAGCATCCCGGCGGCTCGAGGCCCCCTACACGCCGCGACCACCACCGCTACTGCCGGCGTGCGTCGCGACGAGGCCGACCCCGTCTACTGCTTTCCACAGCGCGACTCGGCATGGGCCGCGGCCCTCGCGGCGTGCATCGCGCTGCTGATCGTCCACGAGCTCGTCTCGCCGCTCTTCGCGCTCCAATGGCCGTTCCTCTTCTCCCTCGCCTTCTTCCTTCTTTGCTCCGTCTCCGCATTCGTCCTCTCCCTGTTCCCTTCCTGCTTTGCGCTCCGCCGACTTTCCAGTAACTTCACTCCTCGCGCCGTGACTGTGTCGTGCGTCGTCAGCAGCATAATACTCTTCTGCTGTTGGGGGGTTGGAGTCTCCTATGTGTTCTTCACATACGACCCTGCGCCAATTACATACCTAATCTACTCCACTGAGTCGGCCATATGCATATTACTGCTGCTGCTCACCATCCTCCCCCTTCTCACCTTACACCACCACCTCGATACTGTCACATCCATTATTGGTCGCGCTATCGGGCTGGCGCTTTCGTTCGATACCAGTGTCCTCCTGACAATCACATTGCAAGGGGTGTTATCCATTCTTGTTCTCACACCCATTATGCAAGCGGGCTCTGACTATTTCAGCTGCTTTGGCGACTGGTCCTTCGGTAACACGTGTTACGTGGATGGAAGGCTGGTTACACCAACTCGTTACCCCTCAATTCTCACCATAGCTTTGGTATTCATCGCAATCTGGGTTCTGCTCGCTATAGTCACATCCGCTCTATTGACCATATCGGCAAGGTTTGGGCTAGGGTGCACTGCTGCCGACGTATTTACAGGCAGTGGCAACAGCAGTATGGACGATGGTGGAGCCTGTATTGCTCCTCATGGTGCAGATGCTGATGGTGCCAGTGGCGCTGTTGCTTCTGCTGATGGTGTTGGTGCTACATCAACTGAATTTGACAAGGCTGGGAAGCAGCATGGGAGGTGGCAGAGGATAGTGCACGTGGCCAAGCACGACAGGTGCGTGGACAAGTGTGTGCGCGTGAGTGCGTGTGCGTGAGTGTGTGCGCGTGAGTGCGTGAGTGCGTGTGCGTGAGCGAGTGTGTGTGTCCGTCCATGTGTGTGTTCCTTCGATCCTTTCGTTCCAATAACGCATTTCTCCACGCCTTTGTTTCCCTTGGCTCTACTACCCTTCACAGTGCGTTCATGTGCGAGTGGATTGGCACTGCCAGTGCCATCAGCTGTGCCGGCACCGCAACGCTCCTCCTTGCTGTGTTCGCCAGCATGTCAGCATACAGTTCTCTAGGTGCAGGCATGGCTGCTGCACTGGCCTCGGGTCTGGTTGCCTGGATTGCGGCTCTTGCCTTGTGCTTCCTCTACTGGTGCGTGCCATGGGTGCATGCAGTTTGATGTTGCGTGCCATGGGTGCATGCAGTTTGATGGTGCGTGCCATGGGTGCATGCAGTTTGATGGTGCGTGCCATGGGTGCATGCAGTTTGATGGTGCGTGCCATGGGTGCATGCTGATGGTGCGTGCCATGGGTGCATGCTGATGGTGCGTGGCATGGGCGCATGCAGTTTGATGGTGCATGCTATGCGCGCATGTTGACGGTGCATGGCGTGCATGCATTCAATGGTGCATGCATGCTGATGTTGCATGCCATGCGCACGTGCATGCAATTGGAGGTTTCAATGCCAGTGACAGATTATAACCAAGGCACGCCATTCCCCATTCAAGCCCACCCATGCCTTGCCTTTCCTGAGTGGCTTCGCATCCTTCTACCATACCCAACTCCCCCTCTCCCTGCATCCTCAAGCACCCCCTTAACCATACTGCTCTTCATCCCTGATTTTGTTTCTTTTACCCGCCCTTGATCTTCCACTCCGCTCCTCCACAGTCTGCTTCTCCCCATCAGTGCCACCGCCAGACTCAGCTTCCTTCCCTCTTCACACATCGCCCTCCGAGCTCTCTCACGAGCCTTCCCAACCTTTTTGCTCTTCCTGGCTGTGTCACTCGTGCTGCTGCTTCCAGTAGCGGTAGTATCAATCCTGGTGGTCGGCTGTGGTGGGGTAAGCTTCTGTTATGCCGTAACAAATGGTCATGCCATGCGTCATTCTGCTTGTTGTGCTGTGGTGCTGGTTCCTGCTGTAAACTGATTGTTTTTTTGCCTCTGTCTGCCGGTCGTCCATTGCAGTCGACTTTGGCGTTTGTGGCTCTCTGCGTTGTCGCCCCTCCGCTCCAGTACATATGGGGACCGTGGAACTTGATTGCGTTGTTTGTAATGGCGGTCATATTCTGCTTCGTCACTGGGCTGTTCTCTGCCATCGTGCTAAGCCTTGTACTCATTATTGGTGTCTCCACTGTGTTTTCTTGGGATTTTAGGTCCCAGGTGCAAACACTCTCAAGTGGACATAGTGAGTTTCAGGCTTGCTTGATTCCCTGACTGTAACTGGTTCTGGTACCGGTAACAAGGTTGTGGTGTTGGTGGAGGGTTCTTTCTTGACAAAAAAAAAAAAAAAAAAAAAAACAACAACAAATACCTACCGTCATCGCCCGGATATAAGACATATATGTCTTACCGTCTCCCCCCGGATATAAGCGCCACCCTAGGATAAGCGCCTGGCGCTTCTAATTGGCATATGGCGCTTATATCCCCTCCTCGATTATAAGCGCACCCCTTGAAAAAACTTGTTTTATTATAAGCGCACGTAAATTTAGAAATTTGAAATGTGTTCAAAAAGCTGTAACGATTTTTACTTTAGCAGGCGGATATGTTGCAGATTCGGTTCCCTTCACATTCGGACCCTGCACTGGATGCGGGTCCAGTCAGCAGGACCTGTCAGGAGCTGGATGTGAGTCAGATTGGGTGTATCTCCCAGCGCGCGCGAGAATTTCACAGACGATCCCATGTAACTTCGACTCGATTGAAAAGGCAAGCACGAGACCTACAGTTTGGTGTTAAAAGATATAAAAAAATATGTATGTCATTTTATAAACGCCGGCGCTTATAAATTTACTCGATTATAAGCCCACCCCCATGAAAAAACCTGTTTTATTATTGCCCCCCATGGGGGTATATCCGGGGGGAGACGGTATCTCGTACACGGGCAAAAATGCTTGAGTTATCTTGTAAACGGGATGGTTTAGGGTGTCTTATAAGTCTTATAAATGGAAATTTTTTTAAGTTGACTGTAACACTTGCAAAGTGTGTAGAAAACACCCAGAGACCAGATTCATTGAAACAGGCCGACCTCGGTGGTGATGCATGCAGCGCCCACACTTGCCACGTGAGGGAGCTGCCATCGCTGGCAATATTCCTCTGTGCTGGCAGCATCTAATGAATGATGCTGCCAGCGTCGTTTTGCTGCCAGCAGCGCAAGGATGCTTCCAGAATGCTGCTGGCAGCACGTTGGCAGCGTGAGGGCTGTCCTCTACGAGGAGATGCCTCGTAGAGGAGCGGCTCGGCACCTGTGGATGGGGCACTCTGGCTGGGGGGGGTAGTCGGCCTCTCACTTCATTTGGTGCTCAAGGGTTTAGGAATACTCGTCTCAACCTTGCTCTCGGCAGGCTTTCTAACCATGCGCAGCAAAGTACCCCCAGGCTCGTCCTCTCCTCGTCCTCACGTGTAGGTAAATAACTACGGGCGAATTAACTCGCCCGGCGATGACATCCGTGTAGCCTTGGCGAAGAACGCGAGCAAGGCGGGAAGTCCTACCGCGGCCTCCGGTGCGAGCTTTGACGGGGACGACGGAGAAGAAGCAAACGGCGACGACGCCGAGGAGGATTGACCGGAGAACGGCCACGACGACAGCGCTTCGGGCGACGAATTAGGTCCTGCCGACATCGAGGAGGACGAATGGTGGAATCGGCCGGTCGAGAGCGACCACGAGGTGGAAGAGTGGCAGGCTGGAGATTTGGACAACGACGAAGGTGAAAATGCGGGGAGAAGCTGCGGCCGTGGGTGTGGTTCAAGATGAAGAACGTCCCCAACTGTGAGATTCTGGAAGGTAAGCGTAATGAATTCAACCGCGCTACTGCCTGATGAGCGTGCCCCACTGTGCTGAAGCCCGTCTGTTCCTTGTGTGCCTGGCAGGAATCGTGGTCCAAGCACAGGACAACGGGTGGATGGACGAGAGCGCTGTGCAGACCTGGCTGTCCAAGGAGGTGCTGCCCCATCTGAACCCCCAGCGCGGCCAAAACGCGAGGCGTGCGATGCTGGTGTTGGACTCCTACCGCGGTCAAATCACCCAGACCATGCTTCAGTCGTACCGCACGCACAGCATCACCCCTGCAGTCATCCCAGCGGGTTGTACGAGCCAGATTCAACCCCTGGACGTCTCAATCAACCGGTGCTTCAAGGCTGCTGTGCGAGCGCGCTACGCCAGGTGGTTCATGCGTGAGGGGATTCACCTGAAGACGAAGAAGGTTGAGTTGGTCCTTCATTTACGGTATTACTCCTATTCAGTTTCCTGTCCTTGTCTTAAACATGCTCCTTCATGTCCGTGTCTCTAACATCTCGCTGCCCCGTCCTCAAACCCACCCGCAGGGAACCTGCAGAGGCCGCCCCACCCCGTGGTGCTGCAGTGGATCGCGGAGGCTTGGGATCAAGTCCCCAAGCAGATCATCATCGACGCGTTCCGCCACTGTGGGATCTCAAGCAAGCTGGACGGAACGGAGAACCACCTGGTGATGTCTCACATGCGCGCCAGGAGCACCACTGATGTCTCCGCGGACATGTCCGTCGGGGGGACCACAGGCGACAACACGCGCCTGCTCGGTCGGGCTCCAGAGGAGGAGGAGGAGGAGGAGGCGATGCAGGCGGAGGGCGTGCGGGAGGTGGCAGTGGCAACCGGCCTGGAGGTGCTGTACCAGGAGACCCCCAACTACCGCGGGGCGGCAGCCGAGGTTGACCGCATGATCGAGCCTAGGGAGACGGCTAGGCATGCCTGACGAGTGCCAGACCTGGGTGTAGAGCCTGTTGTTAGCGCAAGCGAGGAGGCGGTGACTGAGGGGGGTTAGGTAGAAGTAGAGATTCATGAATGTATGCATGTACCCACCTAAAGTAAAGAAGGCTCGTTTAGAAGACCCCCCCTGTTTATAAGAAAACCCTTAAACCCCGGTTCTGATTATAAGACATATATGTCTTAACTCGTACACACAAATAGGTGTCGTATAAAAAGGCTAGCCTGTTTATAAGAGACACCCGTATAGTAGACAACCCCTGTCTACTATTCAACACTGTCTTATATCCGGGTGATGACGGTACATTTCTCACTCGTTCTTTATTACCTTCAGCTGAATCAATGCTACCTGTGATACCACTGGAAAAAATCTCGCACTCTTCAACATACAATCACATGACTACAGCATTTACAGTACCCTTCCATTCATCCCACACCTACCTGTAAAATTTTCAACCCCACATCCCTCGCCGCATGACACGAACAGCATCACCATGAGCATCACCACCACCACCATTGCCATTCACATACACCTCTCCTAACTTGTGCCAATCCAATCCCACTCCTCATCTTCCCATCCCTCCCCTGTGCCCTCCGCGTCCCCTCACACCCCTACCCACACCCCTACCGGCCCCTCTCCTGCCCAAATCCATCCCACCATAAGGGCCTTCTTCTTCTGCTGCTGCCGCTCCGGCTCCTCTTCCAGCTGCCCTCGCACCGCCTCTTCCCCTCGCCCCTCCTGCTCCTCTCCCTCCTCCTGCTGCCTCCCCCTGCGTGCCTACAAACTTTAGCCATGGGTCACTCTGTAACGGAGGGTTGGAGCCCGACCCAGACCCAGCTGGCCCTGCTGTTGCACCTGCAGCAAAGGATGCCTCGCCTACTCCCCGTGCTCCTGTCATACCTCCATGGCCAGAAGCAGCAGAGGAAGCAGCAAAGGAGCCATCCTGCACTCCCCTGGGTTTGTGCCCCCAGTCTTCTGGGCCCATCTCCCCTCCCACCTGCCACACTGTGCCCCGCACCACTTCCCTCTCTGCTTCCGCCATTGCTGCTTCTGCTGCTGCCACTGCTGCCGCTGCTGATGCTGATGCGGCAAACGGAGTAAAACCTTGGGCGCCGGTCCAAGTTCCAGACGCATGGGTACCAGAAGGGGGCGACTGAGGCGTGGAGGAAGGAGAGGAGGGTGGAGTAAAACTGGATGTGTAGGAGGACGAGTAGGAAGAGGATTGATGGAAGGAGGAGGAGGTAGAGGAGGAGGGGGAATCGGAGGAGGGGCGGAGGGGGATGAGGGCTTTGCGGGAGAGCTTGACGTTGCCCCTGGCGTCGCGGGAAATGCAGGAGACGGTAACCGTGTCACCCACTTTCAGCACGTCCTCCACTCGTGACACCTGGTTGGAAGGTTGGGGGGAAGGAGGAGGAGGAGGAGGAGGTGATTCCTTGAGGCGATGAAAGAAAGAAGGCATTTATTACGGGTTTGTCGAGAGGGAGACAGTACTGGTGTAGATATTCGAGGCGCCCATAAGAAAGAAAGAAAGAAAGAAAGAAAGAAAAAGTGGACGCGGTAGCTGTGTCGGCCACCTTGAGCTTGTCCTCTATTTGTCACAACACGTTATTCATTAAGCGCCTGGTTGGTTGGTTAGCTGGCTGGTTGTTTGCTCTCTGGTTGGTTGAATGGAAGAGGTTATTATTCTAAACAGACAGATTCTCGCCCGGTGGTGCGTGATTTCCGATGCAACTTGTGAGTCGACTCAAAAGTGGTGGCATCGTACCCGGTAGTGCTCAATCTCAGATATGTGTAGCAGCCCGTCCCTGCCCCCTTCGAGCTCCACGAACGCGCCAAAGTCCCGAATGGATGACACCACTCCTGTGTATGTTCCGCCCACCTCCACCTCCTTCCCCACCACCTCCTCCACCTGCCCCGCAAACCAGGGAATAGAGAGAACAAGGCGAATGTTTTGAGTTGACTGGTAAGCCACCTCCACCTCCTTCCCCACCGCCTCCTCCACCTGCCCCGCAAACCAGGGAATAGAGAGAACAAGGCGAATGTTTTGAGTTGACTGGTAAGCCACCTCCACCTCCTTCCCCACCGCCTCCTCCACCTGCCCTGCAAACCAGGGAATAGAGAGAACAAGGCAAATGTTTTGAGTTGACTGGTAAGCCACCTCCACCTCCTTCCCCACCGCCTCCTCCACCTGCCCCAGGAGCGAATAGACGGGTTACTACAATGGAGCCAGCAGGGAGAATTCTGGGTCAAACCATAAGGAGCGTCCGGGTGCGTTCAGGTGCATGGGTCAGAAGAATTGAACCAGCAGGGAGGGAGGCGCAGGTGGTGTGGGGGAGGGGGAGAAATCGGAAAGGGGGACTTGGGTGGGAGAGAGAGGTGAACGCGGAGTATCGGAAAAGGGGTGAGGCAGAAAAGAGAGGGAGGGCGAGAGAGGAAGGGCGCGGGAAAGAGGGCGAGCAATGGAGGGCGTACCATGTCCCTGGTGGCTTCAAACGATGCGCTGTCATGAACAATATACACATTTCCGCATAAAAACGGCGTGAACTGGGACACTTTTTGAGGCGCATCAGCAATGGAATGGAGGACGTACCATGTCTCTGGTGGCTTGAAACGATGCGCTGTCGCGTGCAAAGATGGAAACAGAGCCCTCGTTGGACACCTGAATGCGCGACCCTGGTGGTGCATGGTGGGAGGGGTGGGAGTGGAGGGAGGGGTGGGAGCGGTGGGAGTGGTGAGAGCAGTGGGAGGGGCGTGAGTGGTGGGAGGGGTGGGAGTGGTGGGAGGGGTGGGAGACATCATACAAACGAGCGACATGCACCATGCCCCTGGTGGCTTCCAAACGATGCACTGTCACAGCAAAGATGGTCACAGAGCCATAGTTGGACACCTGAATGCACGGCACTGGTGGTGAGGCGAGTGATGGCGTTCGGTTCACAGTGTGCGCACAATGTGGGAGAGGTGAGGCGAGGGGGGCGGGTGAGGCGGGTGACAGATTTTTGAGTCGACTCAAAACACACGGCTCATTTCACACGTGTGATGGTGTTCACAGTGTGCGCACGCACAATGTGGGAGAGGTGAGGCGAGGAGGCGGGTGAGGCGGGTGAGGCGGGTGAGGCGAGAGACAGAGTGCGATGGGAGAGATGGGAGAGGTGAGGGAGGTGGGCGAGGTTAGAATGGATGGACGGACAAGGCGTGAATGCGAGGCGTGAACGAGCGAGCACCACGTCTGATGCGCCTCTCGTGCAGCGTGCACGAAGTGTGCCGTGAGTGCAGAAGAGTGCAGAGTGCTGTGGTGTATCTTTGGCGTGTTTGCATGAGTTGTACGTGCGTCGCATAGTTGTATGTGCATCGCATGTGAGCTCGCACCTGTGAGTCGCTGCAACTGCTTAATGGTGGAGCCCTGGGGGCCTATCAGCCGCCCTATGCTGTCCCTGTCTATCGCCACCGTGCCTGCCGTGCCACAGGGGGGAGGTAGGGGGATGGTAGGGGGATAGCAAGGCGGGGATGGTAGAGAGGTTGGTAGACAGATGGGAATGGGAGTTAAGAATGAGAGCAATGACTCACAAACGGCAGGGGGAAAGAGAATGGGGGCCGCCAAGGGTGGTGAAGATAGGATTGAGAGAAGGGACCGGGTGTGAGTGTGGCGGTGAGAGAGGCGCCTTTTTGAGGCGGCTCAAAAGAGGACTCCACCTTCCTCTCCTGGACGAGCCAAGGGAACAGGTGTGATTGTGGCAGTGCTTTTGAGGCGCCATGCGAAAATCCCCTCCTGGAGGAGCCAAGGGACGTGTGAGTGTGGCGGTGAGAGAGGTGGATGGGAAGCGGTGGCCCTGCAATGCAAGCTCCTTCTCCATGTGCTTGACGTATCAGCTGGAGCCAGTGAACGTGCACGCAAGAAAATACAGCTGAATGCATTGAGCTTTAGCAACCGATTGCCCTCCCTTCCTACACTCCCACTCCCAGACTTTGTACAGGTCACACGCTCTCCCATCCTCCCATCCCATCCAATCGCATCCCATTCCATCCCATCCCATCCCATCCCATCCCATTCCATCCCATCCCATCCCATCCCATCCCATCTCCCACTCACCAAATCTAGGAGCAGTAGCGCTGTGCTCCAACCGTGCTCTATGATAGGGCACCGTGAAGTGAGAGCCGGGTCTAGAGCAGCGCACAGCATGGGCAGCGGCACACTCTCCCATCCCATCCCATCCCATCCCATCCCATCCCACATTACTAACCAAATCTGGGAGCGGTAGCACTGTGCTCCAGCCTGGGCCCAGCGAGCTCCTTCTCCATGTGCTCGATGATGCGGCTGCGTGCAGCAAGGGCAGGGTCGAGAGCAGCGCAGAGCACGGGCAGCGGCACGCCTGGCAGCTTGATGTCGAGCTGGATGGCTGTGATTCCCCGGCGTGTGCCTGCTATCTTGAAATCCATGTCTCCTAGATAGTCCTCTAGACCCTAAAAGGAAAGACGGGTGGATGGGAGGAGGGTAGGGGGGGAAAAGGGGGGGAGAGAGGGGGACGAGGGAGGAATTGGCGGGGAGATGGGGGGGAGAAGGGCAATGCAGGAGTGCACAAAGTCATTTGTGCAATGTGCGCACGGATTCGTGAGGAACACGCCACTGTGGATAGACACACCAGTAAGATACCTGTGATGTGAGTTGTGTCGGTGGTCACAGGAGAGTAGAGTAGGGTGTGAGGTGGAGTGGAGGCACAAGGGGGGAGAAAGGGGATATACCCTAAAAACGTAAATGAAGGAATTGGACGACCAGTGTGGACGATTACACGCTGATGCACACAGGCACGGACTACCTTTTGAGTCGGCTCAAAAGTCAACGATTACATGCTGATGCACACAGGCACGGACTACCACTTAACACAGACTCCCTCACACCCCTTAACCAAGAAACCCTACCCTCCCCCCTTCTCCCACAAAATCCCAATCCCCACCGCATTCCTAACCTCCCTATCACCCCTCGCACCCTGCATGCCTCTCACCCCCTGAACCTCACCAGGATATCAGTGAGCAAGCGGTAGTCCTTGATCTACCCTGTGCTCGGATCAACGTCTGTCACGAGCCCCATGACATGCTTTCAGAGGCCCCTCACCCCTCTCCTCCCTCCCACCTCCCCCTCCCCCCACCCCACTCTTCCCCTACCCCCCCATTCGAACCTCACCAGGATATCAGTGAGCAGGCAGTAGTCCTTGATTTCGCCCGTGCTCGGGTCTGTGTCTGTCTGAGCCGCATGCCTTTTGGCGTCGCTCAGTCCTTCCCAGGCACCCCCACCCCACTCTTCCGCGCCCCCCCAAACCTCACCAGGATATCAGTGAGCAGGCGGTAGTCCTTAATCTCCCCTGTGCTCGGGTCAACGTCCGTCACAAGCCCCATGCTTATTCCTGCCACGTGCTCCCGCACACCCACCCCCGCATCCATCAGTGCAAGGCTCGCTGCAGGGGAGGGAGGGGAGGGGTGGGGACGGCGGTGGAGGGAAGGGGAAGGGCGGGAAGGGGCGGGGAGGGGAGGAGAGGGGAGGGGAGGAGAGGGGAAGGGAGGGATGAATGGTAAAAAGCTAAGGAGGTCGTAAGAAAGGGTGGGGACGGTAGGGTGGAGGGCAGAAGGGGGACCGGCGGAAGAAAGCGAGGGGAGGGCTAGAAGAAGACAAAGGTAGAATAAGGTTCATTGCATGCAGGAGCACATGCAAAGGAAATATCTCAATAGCGATCCAACAATGGCACAAGTGTTGGTGGAGAAATGAGGTGAAGAGGGCGGCAAAAGAAGAGAGAGTGATGCCCGATGGGAGTGGCACAAGTGGCGGGAGCAGAGGGAACGGATGGAGAGGGGGGGGGGGGCGAAGGGGGCAGGTGAGAGCAGGAAGGAGGGAAGAGAGGTAATGAGCAGCGAGAGCAGAGAGAGCAGCGAGCATGGTGGGAGTAGAGAAAAGATTGCTCGGTAGAGCGGGAGAGCGGGAGAGTACCTCCGCAGAAGGTGGCCATCGAGGAAAGAGATGCGGAGAGAGCAGCGAGAGAGAGAGGGTGACAGTACCTCCACAGACGGTGGCCATGGAGGAGGAGCCATCGGAGCTCATGACTTCCGACGTCACGCGCACCGAGTATGGCAGCTCCTGCTCGTCCGGGAACACTGCCAGCAGTGCCTTCTCCGCCAATGTGCCTGGGGGAGGGGATTGGGGTAATGGGTGTGTGTTTGTCTGTGTGTGTGTGTGGATCAGGAGCACTGGTGGGTCACGCGCACCGAGTATGGCAGCTCCTGCTCGTGCGGGAACACTGCCAGCAGCGCCTTCTCCGCCAATGTGCCTGGAAGGGTAGGGAAGCGGGGAAGTGGGGTGGGAGGTTATGGATGGATGGATGTTCCCGTCTTGGCAGCTGAAATTCGTTGGGTTCGAAAGGCCTTCATCAGCAACGCGTTATGGATGGATGGATGGCACTGCGCAGTGAGGTGACCCACCTCAGGAAAAACGCACTTCACCACCACCCCCTGTGCAGGGTATGGCCTCACCCGCCCTGGTGCACAGCCATGGCCCCCGTGGTTCCTGAGGATTGCGCACAGCATCCAGACCACAGGCAAGTACAATGTTCCCCCAACCGCCTCTCACCGTGCCCGACCTTCCCCCACCGCACCGCACTCACTGTGGCCCACCCCTCCCTACACCGCAGCACTCACCGTGGCCCACCTCCCTGCGGTTGAGCCCGCCGCGCTCGCTGCGCACTTCGTTGACGGAGAAGGGCGGGAAGGAGTAGTGCACCATGAAGCGCTTCTGCGTCACTCCCGTTAGCGAGTCAACGCGTTGTGCATCATCTGGGGGACCCAGAGTCACCGTGCACAGCACCTGGGAGGGAGGGGAGCGGGAGAGAGGGAAACGTTGCTCGCTGCGCACTTCGTTGACGGAGAAGGGCGGGAAGGAGTAGCGCACCATGAACCGCTTCTGCGTCACTCCCGTCAGCGAGTCCACCCGCTGGGCATCATCTGGCGGGCCTAGAGTCACCGTGCACAGCACCTGGTGGGATGGGAGGAGAAGAGAAAGGGTTGAGGTTGGATGGGCATTGGGCACGGCACGAGGAAAGGAGCAGTGCACCATGAACCGCTTCTGGGTCACTCCCGTTGATGAGACCAGACGACCCACAGTCACTGTGCACAGCACCTGCTGGGATGGGAGGGGGGGAGGGGGGGATTGCGGGAGGGAGATTGAAAATGGGGAGAAGGGAGAGGGGGTACGGAAAAAGGGGTAGGGAGAGTGAGGAGGCGTGAAGTTGATTCAGCAGCACCCCTGCCTTACATAACTTTTGGAGCGCTTGAACGCTTCACATCACAAACCCTTCAAAGCCAGCTGCGTTTTCTCAATGAATTAGAGCAAGAAGCCCTGAAGCGGATGGATCCAATACACCTGTCTGCCTCGCCCTGATGCGTTTGGAACCCGCATTCACAAAATAAACGTTCAAACGCACCTGCTGCGTGTTTCCACGGGAAAGAGTGAGAAGCCGTGCAGCGGGCTCAGCTCAGCATGCCTGCCTCACATGATTGTCTTGTTTGGCGCCTCTGAAGCCCCCTCAGCTCAATCTCATCTCAGGCCCACCTGTGTGTTCCCGCGGGAGAAGAGTGAGGAGCCGTGCAGCGGGTTGAGCACGCCTGCCTCACACGCTACCTGCCGCACCTCCTCCAGCCCCCGTCCATCTGCTCTCGAGCCCCTTCCCAGCACTGCGTCGCGAATCACCTGCGCACACACACATGCATGCACACACGTATGCAGACATGCAGAGCACAAGGCACCGGTGAGTGGGTGAGTGGTTGAGTGGCGATGGGTGGGTGTGAGTGGTTGAGTGGCGATGGGTGGGTGTGAGTGGTTGAGTGGCGATGGGTGGGTGTGAGTGGTTGAGTGGCGATGGGTGGGTGTGAGTGGTTGAGTGGCGATGGGTGGGTGTGAGTGGTTGAGTGGCGATGGGTGGGTGTGAGTGGTTGAGTGGCGATGGGTGGGTGTGAGTGGTTGAGTGGCGATGGGTGGGTGTGAGTGGTTGAGTGGCGATGGGTGGGTGTGAGTGGTTGAGTGGCGATGGGTGGGTGTGAGTGGTTGAGTGGCGATGGGTGGGTGTGAGTGGTTGAGTGGCGATGGGTGGGTGTGAGTGGTTGAGTGGCGATGGGTGGGTGTGAGTGGTTGAGTGGCGATGGGTGGGTGTGAGTGGTTGAGTGGCGATGGGTGGGTGTGAGTGGTTGAGTGGCGATGGGTGGGTGTGAGTGGTTGAGTGGCGATGGGTGGGTGTGAGTGGTTGAGTGGCGATGGGTGGGTGTGAGTGGTTGAGTGGCGATGGGTGGGTGTGAGTGGTTGAGTGGCGATGGGTGGGTGTGAGTGGTTGAGTGGCGATGGGTGGGTGAGTGGTTGAGTGGCGATGGGTGGGTGTGAGTGGTTGAGTGGCGATGGGTGGGTGAGTGGTTGAGTGGCGATGGGTGGGTGTGAGTGGTTGAGTGGCGATGGGTGGGTGTGAGTGGTTGAGTGGCGATGGGTGGGTGAGTGGTTGAGTGGCGATGGGTGGGTGAGTGGTTGAGTGGCGATGGGTGGGTGAGTGGTTGAGTGGCGATGGGTGGGTGAGTGGTTGAGTGGCGATGGGTGGGTGAGTGGTTGAGTGGCGATGGGTGGGTGAGTGGTTGAGTGGCGATGGGTGGGTGTGAGTGGTTGAGTGGCGATGGGTGGGTGAGTGGTTGAGTGGCGATGGGTGGGTGTGAGTGGTTGAGTGGCGATGGGTGGGTGAGTGGTTGAGTGGCGATGGGTGGGTGAGTGGTTGAGTGGCGATGGGTGGGTGAGTGGTTGAGTGGCGATGGGTGGGTGAGTGGTTGAGTGGCGATGGGTGGGTGAGTGGTTGAGTGGCGATGGGTGGGTGAGTGGTTGAGTGGCGATGGGTGGGTGTGAGTGGTTGAGTGGCGATGGGTGGGTGTGAGTGGTTGAGTGGCGATGGGTGGGTGTGAGTGGTTGAGTGGCGATGGGTGGGTGTGAGTGGTTGAGTGGCGATGGGTGGGTGTGAGTGGTTGAGTGGCGATGGGTGGGTGTGAGTGGTTGAGTGGCGATGGGTGGGTGTGAGTGGTTGAGTGGCGATGGGTGGGTGTGAGTGGTTGAGTGGCGATGGGTGGGTGTGAGTGGTTGAGTGGCGATGGGTGGGTGTGAGTGGTTGAGTGGCGATGGGTGGGTGTGAGTGGTTGAGTGGCGATGGGTGGGTGTGAGTGGTTGAGTGGCGATGGGTGGGTGTGAGTGGTTGAGTGGCGATGGGTGGGTGTGAGTGGTTGAGTGGCGATGGGTGGGTGTGAGTGGTTGAGTGGCGATGGGTGGGTGTGAGTGGTTGAGTGGCGATGGGTGGGTGTGAGTGGTTGAGTGGCGATGGGTGGGTGTGAGTGGTTGAGTGGCGATGGGTGGGTGTGAGTGGTTGAGTGGCGATGGGTGGGTGTGAGTGGTTGAGTGGCGATGGGTGGGTGTGAGTGGTTGAGTGGCGATGGGTGGGTGAGTGGTTGAGTGGCGATGGGTGGGTGTGAGTGGTTGAGTGGCGATGGGTGGGTGAGTGGTTGAGTGGCGATGGGTGGGTGTGAGTGGTTGAGTGGCGATGGGTGGGTGTGAGTGGTTGAGTGGCGATGGGTGGGTGAGTGGTTGAGTGGCGATGGGTGGGTGAGTGGTTGAGTGGCGATGGGTGGGTGAGTGGTTGAGTGGCGATGGGTGGGTGAGTGGTTGAGTGGCGATGGGTGGGTGAGTGGTTGAGTGGCGATGGGTGGGTGAGTGGTTGAGTGGCGATGGGTGGGTGTGAGTGGTTGAGTGGCGATGGGTGGGTGAGTGGTTGAGTGGCGATGGGTGGGTGTGAGTGGTTGAGTGGCGATGGGTGGGTGAGTGGTTGAGTGGCGATGGGTGGGTGAGTGGTTGAGTGGCGATGGGTGGGTGAGTGGTTGAGTGGCGATGGGTGGGTGAGTGGTTGAGTGGCGATGGGTGGGTGAGTGGTTGAGTGGCGATGGGTGGGTGAGTGGTTGAGTGGCGATGGGTGGGTGAGTGGTTGAGTGGCGATGGGTGGGTGAGTGGTTGAGTGGCGATGGGTGGGTGAGTGGTTGAGTGGCGATGGGTGGGTGAGTGGTTGAGTGGCGATGGGTGGGTGAGTGGTTGAGTGGCGATGGGTGGGTGTGAGTGGTTGAGTGGCGATGGGTGGGTGAGTGGTTGAGTGGCGATGGGTGGGTGTGAGTGGTTGAGTGGCGATGGGTGGGTGAGTGGTTGAGTGGCGATGGGTGGGTGAGTGGTTGAGTGGCGATGGGTGGGTGAGTGGTTGAGTGGCGATGGGTGGGTGAGTGGTTGAGTGGCGATGGGTGGGTGAGTGGTTGAGTGGCGATGGGTGGGTGAGTGGTTGAGTGGCGATGGGTGGGTGTGAGTGGTTGAGTGGCGATGGGTGGGTGAGTGGTTGAGTGGCGATGGGTGGGTGTGAGTGGTTGAGTGGCGATGGGTGGGTGTGAGTGGTTGAGTGGCGATGGGTGGGTGAGTGGTTGAGTGGCGATGGGTGGGTGAGTGGTTGAGTGGCGATGGGTGGGTGAGTGGTTGAGTGGCGATGGGTGGGTGAGTGGTTGAGTGGCGATGGGTGGGTGAGTGGTTGAGTGGCGATGGGTGGGTGAGTGGTTGAGTGGCGATGGGTGGGTGTGAGTGGTTGAGTGGCGATGGGTGGGTGAGTGGTTGAGTGGCGATGGGTGGGTGTGAGTGGTTGAGTGGCGATGGGTGGGTGAGTGGTTGAGTGGCGATGGGTGGGTGAGTGGTTGAGTGGCGATGGGTGGGTGAGTGGTTGAGTGGCGATGGGTGGGTGAGTGGTTGAGTGGCGATGGGTGGGTGAGTGGTTGAGTGGCGATGGGTGGGTGAGTGGTTGAGTGGCGATGGGTGGGTGAGTGGTTGAGTGGCGATGGGTGGGTGAGTGGTTGAGTGGCGATGGGTGGGTGAGTGGTTGAGTGGCGATGGGTGGGTGAGTGGTTGAGTGGCGATGGGTGGGTGAGTGGTTGAGTGGCGATGGGTGGGTGTGAGTGGTTGAGTGGCGATGGGTGGGTGAGTGGTTGAGTGGCGATGGGTGGGTGTGAGTGGTTGAGTGGCGATGGGTGGGTGAGTGGTTGAGTGGCGATGGGTGGGTGAGTGGTTGAGTGGCGATGGGTGGGTGAGTGGTTGAGTGGCGATGGGTGGGTGAGTGGTTGAGTGGCGATGGGTGGGTGAGTGGTTGAGTGGCGATGGGTGGGTGAGTGGTTGAGTGGCGATGGGTGGGTGAGTGGTTGAGTGGCGATGGGTGGGTGAGTGGTTGAGTGGCGATGGGTGGGTGTGAGTGGTTGAGTGGCGATGGGTGGGTGTGAGTGGTTGGACGGGCGGGAGGGTGGGTGAGTGAGTGGGTGAGTGCGTATTTGGGTGGTTAAGTGGAGCAGGCAGTGAATGAGTGAGTGAGTGGGGAAGAGAATCTGCTCTGCTAATGTACACGTTCCAACGAGACTTGTCTTGCCGATAGCGCACAGGCAGAACCCGCCAAGGGGTAAGAGAACTGCCCAGATGCTTTTGTTATCATTCTTCTGGTCGACTCAAGAAAGGCTTCACATACTATATCGTGTTGCCTATAGCATGCAGGAAGAAGCAACCAAGAAGCAACCATTTGAGTTTTCTAGGAACTAATGGGGGCAGAGGCGGAACACAGCACAGCCAGCCAGCAGGGTCTCCAGAGCAGTTGAGTTTTCTAGAGCAGTCTCAAAAGCAACAGAACACTGCACAGTGCCAGTCACCAGCACCAAAGTCTCTAGAGCATTCGGGTTTCGCGTTTCTATGCTTAAAGCTCAGAGATAGCTGTTGTGAGAGAAAGCAATAGGTGCTCTGTTGTCACAAAAGCTGGGCCCTTGCAGCCAGCACCCTGACAGACAGCCCACCTCGCTCTCACCCACTTACCTCTTGCTTGAGTTTCTCCATGGCGCCTGGCAGCTGCGCCAACGCAGAAGCACAGGTGACTGAGAGAACTCTCGCCTCCCACCCACCCACTCACCTCACGCTTGAGTTTCTCCATGGCGCCTGGCAGCTGCGCCAACGCAGAATCACCACCCTCAGCCCCTCCTTCCTCCACCTTCTCCTCCCCAGCTGCCCCACTCTCCCCTCCCCCCAGCAGCACCTCCGCCACATCCTCCTGCACCTTGCTCAGCGCGCGCCCCCTGTCTTGCTGCCAACCACAGACACAGCAGAGCAGGGGATGAGCGGCAGAAGGTGGGGGGGGGGGGGGGGGGGGGAGGGGGTAAGCAGGAGGGAAACAGGGGAGGGGAAGGGGAGGTTTGAGTCGTCTTAAAGCCACATCCTCCTGCACCTTGCTCGGCGCGCGCCCCCTGTCTTGCTGGAAACACGGACACGGAGCAGGGGAAACAGAGGAAATGAAGGGGGGAAGGGTTATGAGACGTCTCGGAACCACATCCTGCTCCCTACCTTGCTCGGCGCCCGCCCCACCCCCTGTCTGGCTGGAAACATGGACGCGGAGCAGGGGAAATGGGGGAAATAGGGTGGGACTGCCGTGCTACCTGCTACCTGCAGGGTGGTTGGGTGGTTGGGGACTTATAAGACACCGTGCTACCTGCTAGCTACATACTACTCGGGTCCCCAACAACCCACCACCACAAGGCAACACAACACGAACCTTGGCGGCCCTTGGAGGAGTAGAGTGTATTGGTGAGCGAGCACAGCCGTCACAGCGTTCCCTCCCACCAGCCCCCTCACTGTCTCCATCACAACTTTTGAGGCGCCTCAAAAGCCACTAGGCAACACAACACGTACCTTGGCGGCCCTTGGAGGAGTAGAGCAGATTGGTGAGTGAGCACGGCCGCCACAGCGTTCCCTCCCAGCCAGCCCCTCACAGTCTCCATCACAGCAGGTGTCACCACCAGCGGCAGCACCGCCTGCCACTTCCCCTGCCAGCTTCCAACTTCCAAGGCACCTCACAAGTCGACACGTACCTTGGAGTAGAGTGCATTGGTGAGCACGGCCGTCACAGCGTCCCCTGCAAGACCCCTCACTCGCTCCATGACAGCGGGCGTCACCACCAGCGGCACGGCCTGCCTCTTCTCCTGCCGGGCCTGCTCTGCCAGCTCCAGCTGCGGGGGAATGAGCTTGGCTGCCTCGGCATGCGCGAGGTGCAGCGCTGCTGCCATGTCCTCGTTGCTTATCTCGCGCGCCTGCACCTCCATCATCACAGCGTGGTCTTGTGTGCATGCGTAGACCAGAGACAGGTCGCTGCTTGCAAGCTGGAAGGGGTGGGGGAAAGGAAGGAAGCAGGGAGGAGAGCGGTTGCAGTGGTTCGAGTGCGGTGGAGAGACAAGACACAGTCACCGCCTGGCGCTTCTCCTGCCGCGCCTGCTGTGCGAGGTGCAGCTGCGGGGGAATGAGCTTGGCTGCCTCAGCATGCGCGAGGTGCAGCACTGCTGCCATGTCCTCGTTGCTTATCTCGCGCGCCTGCACCTCCATCATCACAGCGTGGTCTTGCGTGCATGCGTAGACCAGTGACAGGTCGCTGCTTGCAAGCTGCGGGGGAGGAGGGGGAGGGGAGAGGGTGTGGGGTGGGGTGGGTGGGATGGGAGAGAGGCACAGCGCACAAAGTGGAGAACGGGGACACGTGTATGTCTCTGAGTGAGGCCGGTAGGTGCCGTGCCTGTGTGCAACGCTGCTGCTGCTGCTGCTGCTGCCATGTCAATGATGTCATTGTTGCTTGTTTCATGCGCCTGCTCCTCCCTGCATGCGTAGACCAGCGACAGGTCGCTGCTGGCAAGCTGGGGGTGGGGGAGGGGGCGAGGGGGGAAGGGGGGAGGGGAACACGGGGGCACGAAGAGTTGGGGTAGGTGCGGTGGGGTGGGGTGGGGTGGAGAGACAGAGTCACACACGCAGGGAACCAAACAAAGAAAGGGTGGTTGAAGGAACTTGGGTGCCTGTCATCAAACAAAGGGGGGGTAAGCCACCGCACACACGCCTGTGTCAGGTCAAGCCACACACACACCTACTCGCAGACACACCCACAAACCCCATGATTCCCCTCTCCCCTCTCTACCCCACACGCACGCACCTGGGTCATGGATGGGTTGACAACAAACTGCCCGTCGATCCGCCCCACGCGCACGCAGCCAATGGGGCCGTTCCAAGGGATGTCTGAGATGCACAGCGCTGCCGACGCTGCATTCACCGCCAGCACGTCCGGGTCCTGCTCCTGGTCGCTGCTCAGCACTGAGGCCGTGATCTGCACGCGGGTTGATTGAAGGGGGGACAGGGAAATAGGCGTGCGCTGTTTGGGTGGGACCAGAGCACATCACTGCGTGCCAGCACAGCACGTCCGGGTCCTGCTCCTGGTCGCTGCTCAGCACTGAGGCCGTGATCTGCAGATGGGTGGTGGGGGTGGGTGGATGGGGGTTGCGGGGAGTGCAGAGGTACAAGAAGGTGCCTTATGCATTGCCTCAAAAGTCACATCAGAAAACCCACCTGGGTACAGTAGGGAACGGCCTTCGGGAAAGAGTGGGCGAATTTTTAGGTGCCTTAAAAGTCTACCTAACCTTCCCACCTCGGTTGGGTCCAATCCAATAGAAGAAGGCTTTGGATCTCCCTCTCCTCGCGCCTTCCCGCTGTGATGTGATGTTCAGTCATTTCTGATAGAACTGAAGTCGTGTAGTAGGCTTAAGCAAAAGAACAACAGCGGTGAAGGTCAGGAACCGATCGTTCGTATGGGAGAGAGTTCCAGTGAGGTTGTCTTGCTCCTTTCTTCACCTTTTGTCAGCCAAACTCCCGTATTCCCATCCCTTTGCGGATACTGAGGGATAACTGTCTTTCGGATCTCATTGAAGAAGGACCCAATCAGAAGACTTCGACAGGTGTTAGCATCACGTTGAATCCTTTGGCAACAGAGATTTTTGTTGGTCTTGACCCTTCTTTCAAGTAATCTTGCTTAAGGTAAGTTGTAACTTGTATACGCAAGTTTGCTGATTCTCGTCAAACTCATGCCGTTTTTGTTTGCCAAGGAACTTAATGCGTACAGTGCTGTTCCAATTGTACCTAGGTGTACCTACCAACGGATGGCATACCCACCTGGGTATCGTAGAAGAAGCCTTTAGGGAAGAGCGGGCGGATGGAGCGGTCGATGATGCGTGCACAGAGGATCTCCCTCTCCTTGGGCGCACCCTCTCTCCGCATGTACGTGTTGGGTATGCGCCCCATCACGTATTGCCTCTCCCTGTAGTCCACCTGCCGTTGGAGCACACGGATACAGGGATGCAAAAAGGGTGGTAGGGGAAGGGGGTGGGTTGCTTTGGGTAAGGTTTTCGATCGACAGGGAGTGGGATTCTTATTTCATTCTCCTCGGGCCTGCCCTCTCTCCGCATGTACGTGTTGGGTATGCGCCCCATCACGTACTGCCTCTCCCTGTAGTCCACCTGCCGTTGGAAAACCAAGCACGCACAGGAGCATGCACACATGCACACACGGACACACATGCACACAAACAGATAACGTTTACACAGGGGAGGGAAGCAGGTGGTTGTTGAGGGGGATGGGTTGCTTTGGTCAGGGTTTCTGATGGACAGGCAACGGGCTTTGTTGGGCCGGGTGCGACTGGCGTCCACTGCTGGCTGAATCTACTGACATAACCATGTTCCTTTGCAGAAACAATCAAACGGACAGACAGGTAGGCAGGCAGGCAGGCAGACACACGGACCAACAGGCACACAGAAACACACGACCCTACCATGAGAGGCAGGAAGTGCAGGGAGGTGTCTCGATCGTGGGATGCAACAGCAGTGACGAGCACCTTGCTTGGTGTCGCCCACACCCACCACCACCACAGCCCCTGACGCCAGGCGATCATTGAGTGGCCTCCCAAGGACACTCAACAATCGGCAGGCACGCAGGCAGACACACACCCACCCACCCACTCACCATGAGTGGCAGAAAATCTCGAGACGCGTCCCTGTCATGAGATGCAACAGCCGTGACGAGCACCTTGGTGTCGCCCACGCCCACCACCACGGCGCCTGACGCCAGGCGCGCCAGCCGCCCCGTCTCAAACACCACCTCGCTGCCCGCCAGGTCCACTCGCGCTGAGAGAGACTCGCCGGGGTCTGGGTGGTTGGGGATGGGGGGAGGGGAGGAGGGACGGTAGACAGAGGGTGAGACGAGATGGGGGTAGGGGAAGAAAGGGAAGGAGGGGAAGGGAGGTCTCATACACCACCTCGCTGCCCGCCAGGTCCACTCGCGCTGAGAGAGACTCGCCGGGGTCTGGGTGGTGAAGGGGTGGGGGAGGTAGGGAGGGAGAGAGTAGGGAGAGGGTGAAACGCGATGAGTAACGTAGCACACGATGGGAGAATAAGAGAGGACGAGGGGAAGCGAGGGCGATGCAGAGAAGGTGGAAGAGGGCGGAAGAGGGTGGAAGGGAGAGAAGATGATGTCGTGAGTAGACGGTGTCAATGGCAAGATGGACGTGCCAGGCGCGTGTGTGGGAAAAGGGCAGTGGAGGAGGTAGGCTCACTCACCAGGAACGGCACGGGGTACAGAGGGAGGCAGAGCCTCGATGATGACGTTGCTGCTGCTGCTGCTGCTGCTGTCCGCGCCCGCGCCCGCGCTGCCAGATAGGACGGTGGAGTGAAGCTGGTGCGGCGCTAGCGCGGAGGACGAGAGGAAGCGGACGAGCGCGGGGATGGGCGCGGCAGAGAGAGGGTGGTGGAGCGGCGGCCATGGCTGGTGATAAGAGGCGGAGGGGGCACCAGATGGGCAGAGGGGGCAGGGAAAGGGACGCGCGGACGGATGGGAAATGGAGACGGGGGATCGGGAACGCGGGAAAGGGGATGGGGGATGGGGTACGGGGGACTGGGGACGGGGGACGGGGGACGGGGGATGAGCGATGGTGGACGAGGGACCGGAGGACGGCTGACAGAGGGAAAGGACCGCGGAAGGGAAACGAAACTCGAAAGATAAGAGTCCGGTCGAATCTGGCGCGTGCTGTGCTTCTGCTGGCGCGAAAAGAGGATTTTCATGCGAATTCAATGGCACGAAGACGGTTCTGCGAATTACTACTTTTAAGAAGTTTCAAAAACGCAGAAAGAGGATCGGCCTCCATGGCACGAGGGGGTTTGTCGTGACGGACGGACGCCCGACGGAAAGCAGGTGGACTGGCAGACGAAGGAGCGAGTGGAGGGGCGGAACAGAGAAACGTTTCAGATTCTGAACAGTTGCGCGCGGAAGGAAGCAGCGGGAAGGATGAAAGCGCAGGGCGGATAAGCGCGCGTACGTGGGTGAGGGCGATCGACGCCGCAGGAACGAGGAGGGAAAAGCGGGGCCGGCTGAATCTCCCTGCTGCAACCCCTTTACGAGAACCCTCGATACAAGCTACAGTAGCGTCTGTAGCGTCCCTATCGGCTGCGGTATCAGTGACGGTTCCGCTACTGACACCAGAAGTAGCGGAAGCGGCGGCGGCGGTTGCGGCTGCGGTGGCGGCGGGAGTGTGGGATGGAAGAATGGGAGACTGAAAGGCAGATCGTGCGATGTGCGACGAGAGCGACGAGCCTACGATCCGCTGCGACAGCGCGATCGCTGACGCTGGGGCTGACACGATCCTCGCACGGCGAGGCACGCGGGCCGCCGCCATAGCAGCGAGGGTTGGGGGGTGTGCTTGGAGGGACGGGGATGGAATCGGGGGTTGTGGTTGCGGGGTTCGAGGAGATATGCTGTGGGTGGTGAGGGGCTGATCGATGATCAGCATGAGTGTTACGAGTGCAATTGAGTGAACGAACTAGAATTGCACTATCGAAGCAAGAGTACAATGAGCGAAGGCATGAGCGAAGAATATATAGCGAAACTACAGTGGTAACGGTAATGGTCGCGCGACGAGCCTGGGACTGAGGTTGGGAACGTGTCGAAGCGTAGGCCCGGAGCGCGGGTTACCAGCCGAGCCGTGAGGTCGGGATGCGATGTGCGAAAATGACGGATGATGAATAATGCGATGGTCGCGAGTGGTAACGGTGCTGACTGAGGTGCTACAGTGATGTACGCGTTGAGCAGAGATGCGAAGTAAGGAAAAGGGAATTTCCTTACACTACCCCCCCCTCCTAAAAGGTCCTCCTTACGAAAGGGCGTGGACGTCCTTGAAGTTTCGGCTGCGTAGATAGTCGGTGACGACAGGGTGGTTTTCAATTCTGTCCAGGGGAACCCAGTTGTCCTCGGTGGGTGTACGATCTTTCCAGCGAATCAGAAACTCAACTTTTCGGGCCCCTCGAGGGTCGCGAACTCTGTGGCTCAAGATTTTGTCGGGGGTGATGACTGGTTCGGTTGGTGGTCGTGACATGCTGGATGGTCGATGTCGTGGGAGTTGGCTGGTGGATGGTACGTAAGGGCGAAGCAGGCTGACGTGGAACGAGGGGCTGACGTACCAGTCAGCAGGAAGGAGGAGGTGCGCGGTGACAGGTGTGATCATGTGACTGATTCGAAATGGCCCACAGTATCGAGGGCGGAGTTCGGGAGTGATGGGCAGGCGGAGGTTCTGAGTGTCGAGTAAAACGAGGTCGTCGGGCTGATAAGTGACGGGTCTGCGGTGGCGATCGGCGTTGCGTTTAGCGATGATATTTGATTTTTTAATTGCTTCTGCTGCCCTGGTCCGTGCTTCTTGCAAAATCTCGGCGAACTGTTGTGCGCGTGGAACGGGATTGTCGGGGTTTGGTGTCATGGGTACTGTTGGGTTCTGTCCGTAATTCAAGTAGAATGGCGACTGTTGGGTCGTGGCAGATGGCGCGTTGTTGTATGCGAACTCGATGAGAGGCAGCTGCTGCTCCCACGTGTTTGGATCGTCACACGTGGCTCGAATGAGTTGCTCCATAGTCTAGTTTGTCCGTTCTGTCTGTCCGTCGGTTTCGGGGTGATACGATGAACTGAATTGAAGTCGCGTGCCGTACTGCTGCCACAGGTTCCGCCAGAAATTACTGGTAAACTTCGTGTCCCTGTCGTTGATGATCGACGCTGGTATCCCGTGCAGTCGAACGACGGTGGCGATGAAGAGTCGGGCTGTTTCCTCGGCTGTGATTGATTTCCTGCATGCTGCGAAATGTGCCATTTTCGTTAGTCGATCGACGACGACCAGGATCGCGTCATTCCCACTCGCCCCGGCCGGTAACCCCGTGACGAAGTCCATCGTCACCTGCTGCCAAGCACGCTCTGGAGGTGGGATTGGTTGTAATTGTCCTGCCGGCCGCTTCCTGGTTGACTTCATGAGTTGGCAAGTGGGACACGATGCCACGTGTCGTTGCACGTCGGTCAACATTTCCGGCCAGTAATAGTACCGCTGCAGCTGCTGCCGTGTTTTTTTCTACTCCGAAATGTCCCGAGGTAACTCCGTCGTGTGCCTCCTGTAACAGTAGTTCCCGTAGTAGCGTGTACCCTGGTACCCAGTTGCGGTCGGATCCAGCTTTTACGTAATAGGCTCCCTTGGCTGCTGCGAATTGCTGTGAATTTCATCCTGTGAAGAATGGGTCTGTTTGATATCCGTGGGTAAATAGTCCTGTTAGTAACGGGCTGGTCTGGGCGAGTAGTATCGCATGTATTTGGGCAGTGGGGCGGGTCAGTGCGTTGGCGATATTCGAGGCTCCTTTTTTATATGTGACCGTATAGTGGAAATTCGATTCGAGGAAGTCGAGCCACCGAATCTGTCGTGGGTTGAGGTGGGGCTGTGCGCGAAGGTACTGTAGGGATCGATGGTCTGTCCGTACTGTCACGTCTGCGCCGGTCAAGTAGCAACGCCACACTTTGAATGCATGCACGATCGCGAGCATTTCGCGGTCGTGTATCGGGTAATTTCGCTCAGGTGGATGTAGCTTGCGTGATTCGTAGGCGATGGGTTGGAGGCCGTTGCCGAAGTCCTGTAACAGTACGGCTCCGATGGCGATGTCACTCGCGTCTGTAACAACTTCGAAGGGGCGGTGTGGGTCAGCGATGCGTAGGACGGGTGGTGAACAGAGAACATTTTTCAGGGCAGAGAAGGCAGCATGCTCTTTCTCCCCCCACGTAAAAGGGACCCCCTTACGCAGTAAATCTGTGAGCGGGGCTGTTAAGCGTGCCATGTTGGGGACGAACCGACGAACGTAATTAACAAACCCTAAAAAACTCTGTAGTTCCATGATCTTCGTCGGGGGATGCCACGCTTTTACGGTATCCAGCTTCTTAGGGTCTATCTCAACCCCAGCCTCCGAAATGACGTGACCTAAAAACTCTAGCCTGTCCCGAAAAAACTCGCACTTGGAGCCCTTGGTGAGTAACCGATATGCCTCTAAAATTTTAAAAACTGCTTCGAGATCTACTAAGTGCTGCTGCTGGTCCCGACTGTAAATGAGGATGTCGTCGAGGTAAACTATGACGCATTTATCTAAAAGTGGCCTAAACGCCTCGTTCATGGTCATCTGAAATGTTGCGGGCGCGTTGGTCAGCCCGAAAGGCATCACCGTGTACTCGAATGACCCGTACCTAGTGTCAGAACATTATAGCTTATATATTTGTGTAGGCTATAGTGGGGTATCCCATAGGGGGTACAACCCAATCAGGGTTTCCTATATGTACTCACTTCATTCATAGTTCATTCATTCTCGTTCTAGTTTCTTTCACATGGTTTCAAAGCGGTTACGCTCTCGGCCTGTGGGTACTACTGCTTCCGCTGCTACATGCTCTGTCGCACGCCCCGTGGCGTGCGACGCGGCGCGCGGCGATTTGCACTTTGGCGCGCGCCTCGGGGCGCGCGGCCTCTTTCTTTTCTGGCGCGCCGCCCGTCCCGGCCCCTAGCCGCCCGCGCGCCGCCCGTCCCGGCCCCTAACCGTACGTGCGCCGCCCGTCCCGGCCCTTAGACGCCCGCGCGCCGCCCGTCCTGGCCCCTAGCCGCCCGCGCGCGGCCCGTCCTGGCCCCTAGCCGCCCGCGCGCCGCCCGTCCCTGCCCTTAGCCGCCCACGCGCCGCCCGTCCCGACCGCGCGCCGCTGCTCCAGCCCGTCGACGCCCGTGAGCCGCCCGTCCCGGCCCCACGCCGCCCGTGCGCCGCCCGTCCCGGCCCCGCGCCGTCGTCCCGGCCCCCACTCCGCCCGTGCGCCGCCCGTCCTGGCCCCACGCCGCCCGTGCGCCGCCCGTTCCGGCAGCGCGCCGCCGTCCCGGCCCCACGCCGCACGTGCACCGCACGTCCCGGCCCCACGCCGCCCGTGCACCGCCCGTCCCGGCCCCGCGCAGCTGCCCCGGCCCGTCGCCTGCTGCATTGCCGAGCCGCCCCACCCACCGAGCCGCCGAGCAGCCCAGCAGCCGAGCCGTAGCCGAGCCGCTGAGCAGCCCAGCAGCCGAGCCGTAGAGCAGCCGAGCCGCCCGAGCCGCCCGAGGCGCCCGAGCCGCCCGAGCCGGCCGAGCCGCCCGAGCCACCCGAGTCGCCGAGCCGCCGAGCCGCCCGAGTCGCCCGAGCAGCCAAGCCGCCCGGGTCGCCCGAGCCGCCGAGCCGCAGTTACTGCAGTGCCGCCGTGCCGCCGAGTTGCGAGTCGCCGAGTCGTCGAGCCTGCTCTTCCCACCACTAGTGAGCCCCTGCCTTCCTTACTGCTGCTACTCCTGCTCTTGCTTCTACTAGCGGCGGCCAGATGCAGCTCCAGCGACGCCCACGCGCGTCTCTCACGCCCCAGCAGCTTCGTGAGTGGTACGCTCAGAGTAGAGGGTCTCTCAGTTCTATTCGCTGCTCTTACGTGATTCGCACTGGTGCTCGGACTGGTCAGCCTTGTGGGACGCCTAGTCATACACCGTCCCGCTGCTTTGCCCGTCTGAACGACGCCTGGCGTACCGAGTTTGGCGACGAGGCTGAGCTCCCCGACTGGGTGGAGTTGCTTAGGAAGAGGGTAGATATATTTGCTCTTGACTATGATGCTATTCTCACTGCCATGTATGCATTGCCTACTAGTGCTGACCGTGCCGGTCACCTGTGCGTACCGCCTGACCCGGGTATAGAGCCTGCTGCTCTAGCTTCTGGTGCGGCTGCTGCTCTGGGTGCTAGTGTGTCTCCTGCTCCAGGTACAGGTGCGGCTGCTGCTCTAGGTGCTAGTAAGTCTGCTTCCTCAGGTGCGGGTGAGTCTGCTCTCTCAGGTACCGCGTCGGCTCCGGCCTCTCACACCTTCACCCTTGACTCGGGGGCTTCCCGCTCCTTCTTTCGAGACCGCACCACACTCACGCCGCTTGGTCGGCCAGTTGCAGTCTCTCTGGCAGACCCCTCTGGGGGCCCTGTCCTTGCTCACTTCTCCACTGTCCTCCCGTGTCCGGCGGCCCCCTCTGGCACCCTGTCTGGTCTTTACCTCCCCTCGTTCTCTACGAACTTGGTGAGTGGTGCTGACCTGCAGGATGCGGGGGTTCACCAGTTCACTCCTGCGAGTCAGCGGGTGACCCACTGCACAGACGCTCGGACAGGCCGACACCTGGCCACGTTTACTCGTCGGCCGGGGTCGAGCCTGTACACACTGACCACTGAGTCTCCTCCAGTTACTTAGTCTGGTAGGGTAGCTGCGTCGGGTCAGGTGTTTGCTGCAGCGTCCAGGTCTGGTCTTGAGTCTGCCCCCTGTTCGTGTCGTCTCCTGTCTCACGAGACTCTCCTCTGG